AACCCAGTTCACCAGATTACGAGTCTACCGCTCTTCACCACTATACCATACTGGCTCATACACCATACTGGCTCATACACCATTCTGGCTCATACTGGCACCATACAAGGCTGGTTCAGCCTTGGTTGAGAGGAGAGGGCATAGTAAAACCTTGTTAAATTCCTTGTTGAGCATCAATCAAAGCCTCTTTTCCACGGTAACAGACAGGATAAAGTAGCAGTGGCTACACACGTCTCTTTATGGCTGAGTCCTTTCAGATGTTCCAGAGCATGGATAACTTTTGCCTTCCCTCCAAACATTTTCAGGTGTTGTCCAACAAAGGAAGTTGGGAATTCTGTTCTTGCTTTCTCGCTTGCCAATTGTGTGGCTATTTGGAAATAATGCATAGGTAAGCTATGGAATCCACTCCCACAATATTTAGTGATGGCCACCAACTTGGATGGCATTAAATGAGGATTAGGCAATTTCATGGAGGATAATTAGACTGTACCAATTATCAGAGGCAAAATGCCCCTGAATACCAGTTGCTTGCAATTGCGGGTGAGGGGAGTACTGTAGTGCTCACTTTCTGCTTGTGGCAGTGACGTAACATGGGTTTCTGGCACCCGGGGCAGGCAAGCCACCCACGCTATGGAGCGCCCCTGCCCCCACTGGAGTGAAGCACGGCCAGGCTGCACTGCCTGCCTGCCTGCCCATATATAAAAGCATAACTTTCCTATAGATGTCCTCTAAAGATTCTATTGTTACTTATCGCCTTGGCTCAGGAGTTGCATAAGTCCATTCCCTCCAACATTTCTCTGATGAAAATAGGGATGTCCTAAGGAACAGCGGGATGTTCCGGGGTCAAATCAGAAACCAGGATGGCTTCTGTCAATCAGGGAGTGTACCTGGGACACTTGGAGGGTCTGTGCTCACAAATATCAGGTGGCAGCCTGATCACCATATAGGTTCTCCATTTGCAATTGATTGATTAGCCTGGAGCGCTGTTTGAGGCGAGAAACATTTTGAGGTGAAGAAATTATCACCATGACAATTGCCCATGTGAAGTGTCTCAAAGTGCAAGGCCCAAATGAGATTTCAGAAAGAGAAAGCTGCTCTTTCAGGGGTGCTCCCCCTCCATAACATTTCATATAATTAAGGATCCGAAATCAGGCTCCTTTCACTGCGACTGTCGTCTTCAAAGGTTACTATGACATTTCCAAAACATTCTGTTGCACATATGAATGAACCATGTTTGTTCCTTTGCCGTTGCTATATCTACAACACCAGATCCTTTGGAATGGAACTTGACATTTTACATGGCAAAACAGATTTCTTTTTTGTTAATTAAATTTGAGGAATTAATGGTCTCAAGTTGTAATGTTTAATAAAGTATAAAACAAACATGACAGAATGCTTGCAGTCAAAGCAGCAAGGATCCAACTGCAGCACTTTAATAGCTAATCCTGAGGAAAGCACTATTATTGATGGGAGGTATATCTAAATAAGGGAGAAAACCTAATTTTCCAGTAAGACCAGTGGGAAGGCTGAGTTAGAAGGAGGTCTGCAGTCAGAGGAAGGGATTTGAGGTGTGTGGTCATTGAAAAGCTCAACCACCATTGCTTCTTATCCTTAGTTTCCCAAGTCAGTATGGCTAAAAAGGGAGCATTACGGGGCCAGGGCGGGGGGCAACTAAATTGTCAGGGACAGTGCTGAGGAGCAGGAGGACAGTATAGATTTGGAACAGTGGTTTGCAGAGGGACATAGTTCAGAAGGCAGAAGCTGGGAAATACTGGATGGGGAACAGCTAGGCGAAGAAACACTGGGAGACAGGAGATTAGCAGATTCACTGTCTCTGGACAGCATTTCTCCACTCTTCCCAAGGTCAAGAAGAGCTCAGAAAGTGTCAGAACAGAAAGCACACAAAGCACTGAGGGTACAAACACAGATTACAAGACGTAGAAGTGATGTAGATTAATGGGGACGTAAGGGGGTGGGATCCATCACAGGGATTCAACCTGCCGACTTCTGATCGGCAAACCCAAGAGGCTCAGTGGTTTACACCACAGCTCCATGCCTATACTTTAGTATGTGGATGTATCTTCTGCAGGCTTGCAACCTCCCTTGCATGTTTTTCCAATGTGTATGGGTAGGGGGTCATCTCTACTTCCTGAAATTTAAAATATATTGGAACAGCTAATTCTGCTCTTAAAATACTTCATATTAAACTGGCAACCTTCCCTCTCAATATGTTTGGCATTTGATAGCACATAAGTGTTCAAAATAATTTATCTTCATAAGCAGAATGGATTGAGCCCTCAGGTTAGAATCATGTCCATCTGAAGGTGTTCTTTGTTTTGGCCCTGAAGCAGGATATTTAATTTAGTTAGCGGACGTGGAGTTCCTCATTCTCTGTGGGCTTAAGCAGTTATTGAAAAAATGATAAACATGCTTGAAAATTTGTACAGTGTTTTATTCCACTGCATGCACAGTTACAATATTTGTTTCAAATGACCATGGTTTGATTCTGTCTCTTCAGAAAGTTATTCCGTAACTGACGTTCGCTTTATAAGAAAAGGCAAGAAGATTTTCCCACCTCAAAAGTAAATAGTATAGATGAACATTCTTAGATTGAATTACTTAATGTAACTGCCAAATAGTAGTAGTAGCAGCAGTAGTAGTAGTAGTAATAAATTTATTTTTTATACCCCACCCATCTAGTCATCAGGCAAAGTCAGTGAGTGATCCCTTGTCAAAAAAATGATTGCTCATCCTTCCATTGACAGGAATATTCAGCTAGAGAGCCACCAGCATTGTCAGATCCAAAACATGGCTTGGGCCAAACCACACATTCTGCTAATACAGTGGTACCTCGGTTTTTGAATGTCTCAGAAGTTGGACGTTTCGGTTTTCAAACACCGTAAACCCAGAAATAAATGCTTCGTTTTTCGAACACACCTCAAAAGTCAAACATGTTTTGCGGCTTTCGCTGAGTGCAAGATCCTGAAGCCTAGCTGTCAGCTATTGAGTTTTCAGTTTTTGAACATTTCGGAACTTGAACGGTCTTCCGGAACAGATTACATTTGAAAACCGAGGTACCATTGTATACTATGCTACCTCCAAATGGTTCTACAAGGGTGTCTCAGCTACCTCTACAGCACTTAACTTCATCCTCTCTTCCAACACACATCAGAACTGCTAGATTCAGGCTATTGGTGGAAGACAATATATCTGCAGAAAGCTGCTTAGAGGAGGAAGTGAAGTCTCTCGACTTGAGGTAGGCCTGTTCTAAATGGTTTTGTCTAAATGAACACCAGATACAGGTGGTAAAACAAAGCGCATTAGGAGGGTTGGAGTCCAGTGCCATCACCATGCTGATGTCATCTAAATCCACTTTTCTGAATCACAAATCAGGAGAGGTTGTACATCCGAATCATGAGGTCTTAGACTAGCGTCTGGACACAGAGGTGTGCTGGATGACTGAATCCTGATAAAATGGATGTCCTGTAGGTGTGTGTGTGGTTTCTGGGTTCAGAAGTTAGGCATCTTACTTGTCCAGGATGGGATTGCACTGCCCTTGAAGAAACAAGTCTGTAGTCTTGGGGTGCTCCTAGAGCTATCATGTCACCACAGGCCCAAGTGACAAAGAGCCCCTCTTCAGTTGGTGTACCAGCTACAGCTTTTCCTAGGTGGGAATAGCTTGGCCATAGTGACCATTGTTATCTTTGTTTCTTAGTTACTACAATATGCTTTTTGTGGGGCTCTAGAAGCTGGATCTAGCTAGGCTGTTGTGTGATGCATCTGGCTTCTGCCATGTAACACATTTAATGAAAGAACTGTACCGGCTGCCATTTTGCTGTTGGATCAAGTTGAAACTTTATGTATGAATAAGCCCCTGAACAACTTGGGACCAGAATACCTGAGATAATGGCTTCTTCCATGTTGACCTGCCTAAACACTGTGTTTACCATCAAATGACCTCCTGGTTATACCACAACTTGCAGACATCCATCTGCTACCAACCATGAAGAGGACTTTTTCTGTGACAGCCAAACTCTGAAATAGCCTCCTCCTAAAAAAAACAACAAAAAATGGGTACCAATTGTGTTGCAGTTCAGGATTTGCTGAAAATATGTTTGCCTCACGGTTTGATGGTTCAATTGCTAGGATTTTAAGCTTTGGGTAGGGTTAGCATTTGCTACACTCCAATTAGTTCTGCTATTAAATTCAGGGTAAATTGTTCTAGGCCAGTTTGGGGTAATCTGGCTCATCAGCATTCATGAATGGGAGCAACATGTTGAATGTAGCCCCTCCCTCCAAGCAAACATACCTTCTGCTGAGTAGTTCAAAGCTGAATCAGGGCCATTATTTGAGATGGCTTCTTATATTGGTTAAATAATGGGATCCCATTTTTTCACTTCCTTCATACCAGATTCCCTTGTGGAAGAGCTAAAGTGTAACCATTTCCAGGCAATATGGTCGAGAGTCAGACCAGCGATTAAATTGGGTTGTGATCCTAATCCTATATCCATTATTTGCCTGGCAGTAAGTCCCATTGCAATGCATAGAACTGCACTTAAGCTAACATTGCAGTATAACTAGTATACAGCCACTAGCTGTATTGCATGAATTTTTTTGCATAGTTATAATGGGATACACATAAACTCACATACATTAGATGGTAAGGATTGAGTGGGAGTCAGCTTCAAAATGAGGTTGCAATTCCTTAATATTTTCAAGGTCAGTGATTCTATTTTTCTTCATAGATATAGATATATCTATCTGCTGAAATTTCCCATTGAGTTCAATGGGGCTTATGTGCACCTAATTGCAGCTGCTATTAGATGAGTTCTGTTTTACACTATGATTTTATGCTTGGATTATATTGTATTTAAATATTTGCGAGCTCCTTGGAAGGACAAGTGGTCCAGAAATAACAAAATAAATGTGTATAAAAGCACAACCCTCTAAACTGATAAAAGGCCATGTTCTTTATAAATCAGGCAGGCAACAATATCGTTATAAAACTGGTTTATTTCTTAAAAATAAATACAAAAATATAAATATAAAACATTGGCAGATAGAATCTGATGAAATGAAGTTGCACAAAGTTTTTTTTTTTCTTTTTTAAACCAGCTGCATATCACATTAACACCACGTGTATATTTTCAGGGAAATTTGTAATGTACAGAATAGAGACATATGTTTTCTTCTTCTTCCAGGGCCACAATCTCTAAAAAGAAGTGCACAGAGGTTCTGTGCATTCATTTTAATTGTTTTTCACGTCCTTTTTCAGAAATTGCACAAACAGAACCCACAAACCAGAAGTGCCACTGAAATTTCACCTATAGCAAAATTCAAAGAATTTATTGGAAAATCTGATGGGTTTTGCACACTGGGCTGTTATTCAGAAGATTAATTTTTTTGTAACAGAAAAAGAAGCCCCTTGTTTTCTAGGCATGTTGATTCTGGGGAGAATGCTCTCTATGCAAGATTTTGGAAAGCTCTCCAGGGGTCTTGTGTGGGCAGTTCCTGAAAAAGAAATAAAATTCTAAGGAAAAACATAGGAGTGCATGTGGAACGTGCATTCATGACCCTCTGTGGATCACGGTCTGGGTCTTTTAAAAAAGCTGTATTTGCAAGTGTAGAACATGTATTTAATGAAAGCAACTCAAATCTATGGTTGCTTGGGAGATTATAAACCTGCACAAAGGTAGTGTATCCTTTATTTCATAAATCGGACCACACTGAATTTCAATAGCTTTGGCTTTTGGAAAGGGGTTAAATAAAATGCTGTATATATTCCATGTGACATTCTACGAGAAAGAATAAAGGACATTAATGAGCAAATTCGAAACGAAACGAGAAAGAAAGGAAAGGAAAAAAACCCATTGTGCTGAGTGGCAGGAAAATGTTCCTGAACATCAAATATTGTCACGTGGAGAAGGTGTCTGTAAAGTTACTTCCTCTCAAATGAACAAAAACTGTATATCCTACGGTCGGTTAGGAAGTGTCTTTATCGCTTTCGCCTCCACCATACATCTCAGCAAGCTTATTAAACCGAGGCCCCCATTCCTTGAGGTAATCATAGTTTTGGTCTCCCTCAGTAGTGCCAGACTCTAAAGAACTCAAGGATTCAGCTATAGAATCATTTCCTTCATAGGCGTAAGTTGCCAGGGAATCGTACGGTGGCGCAGAGGGGTCATTATCATGCTCTTTCAACCTTTGGTTAATGAAATCCCGGACATCCGTGTTATCTGGGGCAGAAGGAGTCCTCCGTGGTATAAATAATGTTTCCGGGATGATATCTCGGCGTAGCTTCTTATCTTCGATAGCCGCAGGATTCCTCAGTGTGCCAATATCAAAAGCCTGTGTGTCTTCTTCTCCACCACCTTCATCATTATAACTCACAATGTTGTCTCTGATATCTTCCTTAGACAAGATCAGAGGCTCTTTCTTTCGCTGCCTCTTTAGAGCCGCAAACAACACCACTATAACTTGGAAAAAAGAAAGAACACCATTAAGAAGGAATTGCAGTTTGCGATACTAACAAACATGTCTGTCGTGTCCATCGTTGTTATTATTATTATTACTATTTTTTACCAGCTCAGTGCAAGACTTCAGCCATGCTCTATTTGGTAATACAGTGGTACCTCGGTTTTCAAACGTAATCTATTCCAGAACACCATTCAATTTCTGAAACGGTCAAAAACTGAAAACTCAATAGCTGACAGCTAGGCCTCAGGATCTTGCACTCAACGGAAGCCACATGGCATATTCAACTTCCAAGGCGTGTTCGAAAACCGAAGCATTTACTTCTGGGTTTACGGCGTTTGAAAACTGAAATGTTCGTCAACTGAGATGTTTGAAAACCAAGGTACCACTGTACTCTATGATGTATTTGGCATCCTGTATCAAATCAGCACACTGTTGTTGTGTGTTTTTATACCAAATATATGAATATTGGACCATACTGTTTCAAAAGTCATGTGCCTGCCCCTCTCTCTGCCAAGCGGTGGCAAGAGCCCAGCCATGCACTCGCCAAAGGTCTGTCCTTCTTTGGAGAATTGAATGTGCAGCAGAGACTGCTATGCCTTTAAGAAATATGGTTTATTAGCCTTTTTACACCCTCAGTCTGCTTGGAGGGAGTCCAGATCTCATGGTATGGTCATTTCAAGAGGCAGCAGGGCAAGCAGCCTCCCCCAAAGATGGATCTCAACTCTTCTTCCTGCTTCTTCTTCCCAGAAACCCTTTTCCTGTCCCCTCAAACATACACCCCACCCCCTTGGTAACATCTCACTCCCCAGTGGGCCATCAACACCTTTTGTCATGTTATCAAGTTTGCTCTTCAGCCAGCCAGCCAGGCTGGTTTGCGTAAGTCAGCCCAGGAATTCCCTATCTGGCACAGTTCTGCACTTTAATCCATATCCCAATTAGTTGAAACCCTGGCATGTATGGGGTTTGGGGGCATTACCCCCTTAAATCTATAACAATATTAATCTATGTGCAACCATTGCTAGAAACCTACCAAGAAACTTCGTGGGGGATTTGTAATCCTGACCCTTGACGTCCAGAATAGATGAAATGAGAACATATGAAATTCCTTGGATGAATCAAACCAAGAAGGTCAATCTGTTTTGTTTTTTACCGCAATACTTCTGGAAACTCACAGGAAGGGTGTGAGGTTTCATTATTTATTATTTATTGCTCTAGCAGTGAAGATGTTGTTATGCATTTGTAAGGGCACAAGACTCCCCTAAATTTAATGAAGGGTAGAATTTGGCAAATATTTAGATTATGAAGGGAAGATGCCAGGCCAATGAAAAATGCAGGTTGAACCAATTCTTCTGTTCAGAAGATTGCTGACAGTGATGCCATTAAGAACCCAAAGGCAGCTAAGCAACAGGCCATTAAGAACACTTGACTGTGTAGATGCCGTCCTTCTTCCCAGCTGAGAAGTGGACAGTAACAGAAGAACTGAGAGGGTGAAGTTACCAGGGGTAACAGAGGGTGCTTAGAATCAAGTTTGCTGAAGCTATGGGAGGAACAACGAGAGGCACTCTTAGGGTGTAATGTTCTCCACGCCCTCCACCAAATCTCAGGTTGTAAATACGTGCAAAAATAAACGATATTTCATAAAGACACGGCAGTCTCCTCTGTGCCTCATTCCCAAGAAACACAAACCCAGGTTAAGTGCCAAGACCCCTAAAATATGGCTTCTGCTCAGGAGAGATTGGGGTGGCCTGTAACAAGGTATTTATTCTGAACGTGGATGTTTCTCTTAGCTATCCTAACAGCTGTTGAGAGTTCTATCCCCCTTGAATAAGACTAAACTTCTTCTTTTTTAAAAAAAAATCATCTGTATGCCATCACTGCATATTTTGGTCGTGAATTCCTTAAATTACTTATGCATTATGTGAAAGAATTTCCTTTTGTCTGCCCAGAACCTACGGAAAGTGCACTTTAACCAAATACTGAAAACAGTCTGCCCAAAATAGCCTTCTTCTTTTTTAGTGCTATAGTCTGTAAAATGCAACGCTTAACTAATGCTTCCTTTGTTCTTTTGCTTCGAAAAGTAGCTGCTAATTGTCATTTCAAACTTGACAGCTGTTCTTTGACATATCCCATCTCGTTTCCCTCAGATCTGCTTGCTGAAGCAGGAACTATGCCTTCTTTTGAGGAAAGAAGTGACAGCAAAGCTAATTGGAAATCCACAGTTAAAAAAAAAAGTTTAATTCACCCCATAATCCCTATTAAAGAGTGTACTATTTTCAGCTAGGGTGGCTTGGTGGGGCTGTTTTGCGCACCTGACCTCTGTGTGGCTGAGTCACTGCAGTGTACTGGGATGGTAAGGAGGGGGCCAGGATGGAAGAAAGGTTTTTGCAATGCAAATTTGCCAGCAGAGCCAGTCACCTTTCTACTGGCACCATTTCCCCTCCCCAAAGTGCTGCAATTGGTTCCACCAGTCAGCAGTAAGGTAAGCAGCATAGCTTCACCGTGAAATCTGCTGCTGACTATTTTAAGTCATTCACTCATTTCTTCATACGTTGCACAATTTGTTTACGCGGATAAAGTATTCCTAATTTAGGCTGAAAAGTGCCCTGGAAGTTTATTTTAAAGGAGGGGGTAGGAATCTTAGGATTTTTTTATTATTATTTTGTTAAAGGAAGAAAGAGAGAGAATAACGGAACTCCACTCGAGCTTGTTATCTCCAAAGAGTAGAGGCTGATTCACACTTTAAATTCAATTTCCTCTTTTCTTTTTTAAGGTATGGCAGCATTTCTTCTCGTCTGCTCTTTCCTTTACTCTCTAATGCAAAAGTTCCCCTTGTAAAAAATGAGACGCTCGATTCACCAAATGATTCAGAAATAAATGCGTGAATCTTGGAAGAGGCACACTTTTTATTCTATGTGAAGCTCTCCAGAGAGGTAATGGTGTGTGCATATTTTATATCTATATATAGTTTTAATTCTATGAATGTTCAATTGTGTTGGGGTTTTTTTAGTTGTTCCTATTTTTTCAGTAAGTAGCCTTGATTATTAATGTCCTGGGACAAAAATGCCTCAAATTTGATGCCTGTGGGCACCTTGTCACCCTCAGACAACCCCCTTGTTGCCCACCAAGGCCTCTAGACCCTCTCATTTTTTTGTTAAATAGGGATGTTCTTCAGTTTTACTTTTTGTTGTTGCTTGGTTAGGGTTTTTCGGTGGTGGGGATGTTGCCTGTTTCATTCATTCATTTGCTTTATTTGCTTTTCTTGCCCTGTATAAATGTATTGCCTGTTGTTTGGGCTGGTTCTGAGCACCGCCAGTTTTTCTTCTTCTATGAAATGAGCGTTTTGTGGTGCCCACAGCAGTTGCCTAGATTTCCTAATGTGCCCATGCACCCGACAAAAAGGTTGGCGATCTCTGGAGCAGCAGCTTGCAAGCTGGAACGTGCTGAAGTGGTTATGCAGTTCCGACTTCATCTGTGCTGATAAGATAATATTGTACCCTAATCCAGTTTCAGGGACAATCAGTGTATCAATTTGATTATTGAAAGGTGGTGACAAGTACGTAAGGCTGCAAAAAAAAAAGACTGCAGGATGCAGCTTGGCAGGGCCTAATATCTCTTTATAGTGACATTTCATTTAGCAAAGAGTAGCGTTCCCCTGCAACTTACCCAGGAGAATAATGATGCAGAGCAGAATGGCAATGAGCGCTCCTGTGCTAAGACCTGCTGGAAGGAGCAAAGCTTCAGCATTGCAAGACTGCATGTTCCCCCGGCTGTCACAGGCGCACACCCGGATAGTCAGTGTGCCAGTGCTGCTTTGGATAGGGTAGTCGTTGTCGGAGATCACCACTGGCAGAAGGTAAGTACTGATTTCGTGCCGGCTAAAGCCATTCCTTCTCGTCAAAATCCGGGCAGTGTTATCTAGACCAGTTAGCCACAAACAATGTACACATTACAACAAAACCACAGAGCTATGCACTCAGTGTTACATTAGCAGAACTTGAACAGACTTCCCATTAAATATTTCCCCTGAAGCAAGCAGTCGGCTATCTTGTGTGTGCAGCCTTCTGACCCAAAGCCACAGTTCCACGTTTATTGACATTTCCCCTTGCCACTGTCTTTTAAATGAAGAACAAAACCCCCCACAAGTTTGTCATTAATAAAGCGAGCTAGCATGAATAATATTCAAGGCCATCAATGTTCCCCTCCATTTCCACTTCACTCAAAAGAACCGGTTTGTTTCCTTAATGAGCAATTGTTATTTTTTTTGTCCCCTAACAGGAATTGAGTGGTGTGGGACATGGGATATGACTCCATACTTGCTGCATCATAGACAAAATGCAAAGAAAACCCCAAGAAATGTCTAGCTAACCCCATAGACAATCTGAATGATTGAAGGTGCACACTAGTAACTGAACGTTTTCTGCATTAAGCTAGGTAGATGACAGATATCCATTATTGGATCTCTCATCTCTGAAAAAAATAGTGGCTGATGTGCTGCTGGGGGATGGATCTATCATTGACTATAGTACATGATGATTAATCGCAAGCAAGAACAGTATACATTCACTGATCACATACTAGGTAAGACTCTGCCGTCATACCCTGCTTGTGGGTGTCTCAGAAAACAAAAAGTAAAGTAAAGGTAAAGGACCCCTGAATGGTTAAGTCCAGTCAAGGTGACTATGGAGTTGTAGCACTCATCTCGCATTCAGGCCGAAGGAAGCCAGCATTTGTCCACAGACAGCTTTCCAGGTCATGTGGCCAGCATGACTAAACTGCTTCTGGCGCAACGGAACACCATGACGGAAACCAGAGCACAAGGAAATGTCGTTTACCTTCCCACTGCAGCAGTACCTATGTATTTATCTACTTGCACTGGAGTGCTTTCAAACTGCTAGGTTGTAAGGAGATGGGACAGAGTGATGGGAGCTCATCCGTTGCAGGGAATTCAAACCACTGACCTTCTGATTGGCAAGCCCAAGAAGCTCAGTGGTTTAAACCCAGGGGGTCTCAGAGGCACCCAGCTGGACACTGTTGGAAATTAAATGCTTGACTAGGTGGACCAGCCCACCATTTTGCTACTACAAAAGTCATTGTGGAATGGGAAATAAGAGTTTGTCTGGAGCTAATCTACGGCAACTTGAAATGACGGGGTAGGTTTTGCTCTAGAGCACTGTTCAGTGGTTCAGTGGGCCAGAATAGTGCGTATCTGTCCTTTGAAAATGAGTTGAAACATGTCTTTATTTCTATGCCATGCTTCTGAACCCAGTTACCTAATACACAAAAATGAGAATACTCTGGAAATGTGCACGAAGAATCACTCATCTCACATCCCGAGATGTCTTATTCATTATACCTTCATTGTCCTGGACTGTGAAATTTGGATTAACAGCAGCTAAACTGAAGAAAAACTTTTGTCCTCCGAGGGGATCATCTTTGTCAACTGCACTTATGGTTTGTATTAGCTGCAGAGAAGGGCAAGGAAAAACAAGTTGACATTGGTGAGAAGGTTGTCTGATTGCTCTGAGAAGTACAAGTGGCCTTGAAGGACGCTTTCAAAATATGTTTCTGTGTTTGCATGGTACGTAACATTTATCCACCCCAAACAACACAGTAAAGTCAAATGCACATAGAAGAAGAAGAAGAAGAAGAGTTTGGATTTGATATCCCACCTTTCAAACAACAATTACATTGTTTACTTGGTTTCTTTTTATTCCCCAGAGCTTTAGTAGGCAACTGGAGGCCCAGTGGCCAAATCTGGCTTCAGAAAACTTTGCAATTTGCCCCATATCCTTTATGGTCTCTCCCCCCACCCCCATTATTCACTTGAGCTGCTTTCTTCCAAAAGGAGATATAGGCAAAGAACTCTTTAATCTATCTTCCTGCAGTAGGAACACGTAAGACACGTTTGGATAGTTTATCCCTGCCCCATCTCCCACAATGTTATGCCTTTCAACTCCTCTGCACAAGAAAACAGATGGGAAAATGTACTGGGAATGCCTAAGGGAAGGACTTTGGCTACCATGATTCATCTTTATGCAAATCAACTTCAGATTTATCTTAACTATGATTTACTGAAACAAACCAACTTCAAACTGTGATTTATGAAGCCAACCTGTTTCAACGAGCCATAAGCTGAGATTAATCACAGTTTAGGCTTCACATGTAACACTAAATGGCAGTAAAATGAAAATTTCCTCTCTCCTCCTTGTGGCTGCATTGAAAAAGGAGAGGCAAAGCGAGAGTAAATGAAATCAAGCCTTAGTCACATAATAATAAACCATGGTTGGACGTTCTATTCAAATGATTTTGTTATGTCAGAACCTAAACAAACTGCAATTAATCTTAATTGTGAATTACGGAAACAAGGCAACTTTAAACATTGGTTTACAATTCTGGTTTGTCCCCCTATACCATACTTGAGGTTCAGCTAACCACAGTTTCCGGTTCATACATAATTATAAACCATGGTTAACTCAAATCAGAAGCAAAAGTTTCTGGCATTTTTGCAACCCCAGCAATGGAACTCAGTGGGTGATATTGGGCCAATAGCTGTCTTTCAGCCTAATTTAGCACATAGGATTGCTGTGAAGATAAAATGAAGAGAAGGAGAATCATGTGTGCCACTTTGTGCTCCTTAGAGGCAAGACAGGATAGAAAAGTAATAAATAAATGCATAACTCCCAACTAAATCAATATGTAAGAGGAAATTAAAAAGTCTTTGCCTATTTATCCATTTGGGAAGAATGCAGTTGTGGACACAGTCAAATGCTACAGACTCTTTAGCCTTTGTTCAGTTCAAAATATGAAATCTGTTGAAAAGTAGTTGTAAACCAGAAAAATCAAAAAGCTTTTTTCTGCCCCGCACAGGTATGTGACTTGCAATTTGTTTTGTAGCCTGGTCATGTGTATCAAATTCAACAGGCATGGCATAAACTTATGACCCCAAATGTGGCATGGGAAGTAATGTAAATGCATCTAAATCTTACTCTATTTGTCACCCTATATCTGAGAGCTTATATTGGGGTTTGGCTAAAGCAGGGGTTCTCAACCTGTGGGTCCCCAGATGTTGTTGGACTACAACTTCCATCATCCCTGAGCTCTGGCCTTGCTAGCTGGGGGTGATGGGAGTTGTAGTCCAACAACATCTGGGGACCCACAGGTTGAGAAAGGCTGGGCTAAAGGAATCCAAAGTGCTACCCGAGATGTTGATGGCTGGGGGATGCAGTCTGTTCTCACTACAGGTGAACTCAGGGGTGATGTGTCCCTTTTCACCACCTGAGGTGAAATGAGAAAGTGTTGCTCTCTGCCAGCCCCCACCTGCCATTGTGCCCCATCCCCTATTTCCATCATTGCCGGGGAGTGCCCCCACTCTAGCCAAACTTGGCAAGAGCTGAGGCGTCCCTCAAAACATTGCCTCTTGTCTTCTCCACCCAGGGGCAGGGGGAAAGATGAGCAGCAAAACTGTGCACACTGAGAGCCAGCGTGGTGTAGTGGTTAAGAGCGGTAGTCTCGTAATCTGGGGAACCGGGTTTGAGTCTCCGCTCCTCCACATGCAGCTGCTGGGTGACCTTGGGCTAGTCACACTTCTCTGAAGTCTCTCAGCCCCACTCACCTCACAGAGTGTTTGTTGTGGGGAGGAAGGGAAAGGAGAATGTTAGCCGCTTTGAGACTCCTTAAAGGGAGTGAAAGGCGGGATATCAAATCCAAACTCTTCTTCTTCTTCTTCTCATCAGTGAGAAGTGGGTGTTCCACCAGCAGCACCAGTGATGATGCAGGTGGGACAATGCCACGTGCTTCTACCACCTGAAGCACCACCTGAAGCTTTCTCATTGGTGTGCTGACTCCGGGTTGAGTAAAAAGGGAGATGGTTGCTCTTTCTGGCTTCAGGGTGCTGCTAAAGTCACATGACATCACCCCGAGGACAGAGAGTGTGGGACCATTTTTTCCCTGTCCCCAACCTGCCTGCTGCTCTGTCTGCATGGGGAGTGGGTGGTCGGCTAATGATATTCCAGTGTGTGCCTTAGCTGCTGACAGAAAGTGCCTGGCAGCGTAAATGAAAATGCTGAGTCGAGGGAGAAGTTTGTCAAATTCCCCCTCACCCTTTCTGAGTAGAAAATTCTGGCTCAGCCTCCGATAGAAGTAAACCCTGTGGAAGGATGGAGCACAAAAGCTTCCCTTAGATACTCCTCTGCTCCCCTCTGACACGAAACATAATAGAAGCAATGTCACATTATTCTCCCTGCCAATTCTGGCAAACCCTTTAAAAAATCCTCCTCCCTGAAGGTGAGACTGTGTGCCCCTCCATCACCCCCACAAAAGTGGGAAAGCGGTTTGGGGGGAGGAGTGATTTGAGCAGACAAACAGCAGGAAGTGAAAGAGTTAAGGTGCCCCTGTCCTCTCACTCTTCCCATTTTCTTTCTCCTCAGGAGGCACAATTGTGAGTTGCAAGAAGCCCTAATGGCCGGTACTTTGCCGCTCTTGACGGCAAAGTCATTTCACATTGATCCAAGTACAGTTCAAAGTATCTCCTAAAGAGGCAAAGCAAAGCAAATGTTTGTCCTTCGGATGCAAACAACTTTTTATGCTGTTGTGTGATTTGCCCACAGAAAGCCTTTTGAGATAAAAACCGGCATTTGCATAAAAATAGAAGGCTGACAGTGATGTTTTAGAACACTATCCATGTCAAGTCAAAGCGCAATTGAGTTATGTAGCAAAGGATGCTTAAAAAATGATTACAAATTACTGTTTGTAACATATAACACTTTCCTCCATGAAGGCGGCACTGAATACAATTAAGAGGGTGTTTTTTTAAGGACAAATCCGAGAAAACAACTGAAGAGAAACTGTTTTCTTTTGGGGGGTGGGGGGAGGGAGAAAGGAGCTTGATGTCTTCCGAGCACAAAGCTTCCTTTTGTGGATCTGCAAGAAAGTCATTTGGTAATTTACATGTTGATGTAGCTGGGAAGCATTGCTGTACAAGGCTGGAGTCTGATTTGCTGGCAGCCATTTTCCCCCTTTTCATGTTAAGTTCCCCAAACTGCTCTCAAAAGCAATCTTTCACTCTTAAGGAATAGACACATTATTGTAAATGAATGACTTGGTGCCTGTTCCCATAACAGAACCAAATAGCTTTAAACATTTCCATAAATTGACTTACTTGGCCCGCTCTCGCATTTTCACACACAAAAGTATCATAGAACACAGCAAACTGTGGTGCGTTGTCGTTCACATCCAATATCCGAACGTAAACAGAAACGCGAGTCATCTCTTTGGGGTTATCTGTCAAAGCAGGGGGGAATCAGTAATCTTTTTTAAAAATAGATTCTCTTTTCTATCAGAGCTAAACTAGGAGGCCACGGATACATGGCACTTTAAGAACAAAAAAGGGGGGAGGAGACCCAGCAGTTTCACTATATGAATTTCTACCAGCTAAGGCAGAATCTTCGATGCCACAACTTCAACACACAGAATTATAGATGACTAAACTAGGAGGTCCTTTAATGTGTTACTCATACTTTTTGAGGGAGAGTCTCACCCTTAGGGGACCCTCTGACAGCATCTGTAGGATGTGGGATTTGCCGCAATCCATGCTCCTGTCACGCCATTCTGCTCAAACAAAAGGTATGGGGGGGCCCCTACACCATAGCTCCTTCCCAGACCAGCATTGACCCTCCCCTAAACAGAAACAATTCTGACATGGCGAGAAGCTCCTAAGAGCCTACCTACATGGACTTCTCCAGTGTGGGTCTACCAGTGTCATGAAGGAACAGACACTGCAGCAGCTCCCACATACTGAAGCTTAACATCACATGAGGTACTGGGTCTTCCACATAAATCCAAAGAAAAATAATTTTGCACAATATCCTCTTCTCATGCAAACATGAAGAAAACACTTGCGTCAATAGCAATGAGCTTACTGATTTCAGCTGCTATCACACTAAGATTGTGCCACTGTGATATTTCTCGGTCAAGCATCTTGGAAGTATAAATAGATCCATTTCCAGAATGTATGTTGAAGATTCGGTCAAGGTCAGTGTGGCGATCCAAAGAAAACCTAAATTGGATCAAGTAGAGAAAGATTTGCCAACTGCACATGCACCACTTTCATCTTTCTATAAGAAACACCCATTCCAAATCAGTGTTCAGACAGATGTTGCGTCACTAGAGTCGTGGAGCCATTGGGAAGCTCCCGATCCGAATTTTATTCAGACCAATCTCTTCCCAACATTCTTAAGAAATCATGAAAATCTCTCTGCACCCCTCCCCCATGACAGTTCCTGAAGCCATTTTGCATGATGGATCATGGACTCGATGATACAGAAGCACTTCCAATTCCCACTTGACTATTCTCATGCATGAAGCAGAAGAACCATGAGGAACGGAGCAGCCCCACAGGCGGCCATCAGAAATGCCTCTGAAATGTTACTGAGTCTACGTTCCCTTTGCTGAAAAAGTATCCAGCTCGTTGACATGTGATACGTAAATTGCAATGCTGGGCTCACACCGGTGGTGGTATAAAACCTGCTTCAACTTCTACTTCAGTGATATGTCTGTCTTTGCTCTCTCTTCCTCCTCATCTCTTATACTGACTATGATAATTTCCTCCCAGCTTTGTCCTCAATGTTATTTGCTTTCTTAATCTTTGCTCCCTTTCATTCTCTTCTCTTTTGGTGACAGATCCCTGTTTGCCCTAAACAACAGAAACTCAGTTCCATATAGCATGTGCAACTTTGGGTTCTGGGCTGTGCATGTGCTTTTAAGATGGAGGTCTTTCTCTATTCTTGATGTTGGCCTTTCTAATAAAGGTTCCATACAAAATGTTCAGAGTATCGATGCCTCAGAGTTGCACTTCCATGAAGAAAGCAACCCAAAGAAGGCGGCAGCATTGTCAGTATGAAAAAGAATTATTGCTCCATTTACCGAGGCAGAAAAGATGTGTGCAAGCCTGTGTGCCAAAGACTTGTGTTAGCACAAATATATATAATCATCACTGAGGAAAATTCATAGTTAATCTCTTTTTTTATATATATGTACAGTGTTGCTGCATCAAGTGTTTTCTGCATTCTGTAAAAAGGCAGAACTGTAAGAACCAACAACTGTGCTTTAATAAGCAAAAATGTAACTTTTCTTTCCCTGTGAACTTAACAAGATAAATACAGTCATTTACCTTTATTAGCTCTATTATCTCTGTGGTCCAAAAACATTTAATTAGAATGGTACAATGTAACCCTGCTGCTCCTTCCTCAAACCCCAGATAATTTCATGGAAAATTGCAAAAATTGTAGGGACAGTTTTTCCCCCGTCCATTACTATCAATAGTTCTAGTTAATTATTCACCTGCAGCTTATTTCACAGAAAACAGGTGATTTGGCCATACTGAACAATGGATTGCAACTGACATCAGTGTCAATGTTTCCTCTTCATTATCTTCTCACAAACCACTATTTATTTTGGCATGGCCGGATTGTGTTGGGTAGGGGTAAGCTGTGTGTTGGCAGGGAATAATTATTGTTAAATTCTTTGGATGCGAAGACCTATCTTACTATATAATAAAAGCGCAAAGCTGTCAACATGCAACCTCCTCCATTGGAGGATTTGTCCTGCTGAACCACAGTCCTGGGTGTGCATGAAATCAGGGAACCCGCTATGATATGAAAGTTGTTTTTCACTTTGTTCTCTATGCAGTAGGACAGCTCTTAAGATAACATAACAAAGTTTTGCACAATAGCTCCAGAGATTACGGAGCAAGTGTTTGTCTATGTTTGGAGGGAAATTGACTGCCAATTTAAATCAAGATGGGAGACTGCACCTTTCAAAACTGCAGTGATTTTTTTTTTGGTTTCTTGGTGCCTGCCATTAAGCCTCTCCTCCTTACAGAGGGGAGGAGTTGTGAGCAGGAGCCGTTTCCCGCGTTGACAGGGGGCGTTCCAGCCAGCCAACCAATCAGGTGGAGGTTTGGGGGCGGGGTTTTGCTGCTCACATGTGGCCACGGCAGCACTTCCCTTTCATTCCGCTGCTGGTTTTCATCGGATCAAGACCTCTGGAGGAGCTTGTTGTTTTTCGGCTGGTTTGGGAGTGTGGCCAGCGAGAGCCAGGAGGAGCCATTCCTGCAGGGAAGCAGGGGCTCAATTATTTTGTCTTGGCAGCAGATTTCTGAGTGGAGTGCCTCAAGGGAAGCGGAATCATCAGCGGTTTGGAGACCGTGAGGTTTGGAGACTGGCTTGGGGGGGGGCGGTTGCCTTGCATTTTCTGTGGGTTTCTGTTGCTTTGTCCCCTCTGGGTTGAACTGGCAAATTGGCACCAGCCACTTGGTTTTTCGCCTACCTCGTAGCAAATCGTCACAACTTTTAGGTATAGGCGGTTAGGCATTGGAATATGTTTGTGTATTGGAGGGCAGGGTGTGGCCACCGCCTTCCCCTCTACTTTATGGGTATTGCGGTAAAGGAATCTGGCGGTCATAGATCCTGTCTGATGCCCTTGCTGGTGGCTAGGGCCATGGCATGACCCCCGATGACATCAGGGGGAACTTTCAGTTGTATTTGCATCAGCAGGCTCCTCCCACTGGTGGTTAACCCTTGTTAGACTCACCACTCCCTGAGGGGGTGGAGTCACGCTCTGTTATTTTATCCAATGCCTAAGCCAATACCTCTCACATGCTGTAATCAATAAAGTTGTGACCTTTTTTTAGCCCATTAACCTAATATACTATGTCCATGTGTCTTTCTTATCCCCAAGTGGGTGGCGGGTCCTTGAATCACAACTTAGAAATTATTTCTTCTTGTGGATTCCTAAATAGTGACTCTGGATAGCTGGATTTGAGGAAAGAGGTTTTTTTTCCCCTTTTCTTTTCCTAGGAAAAACATCAGGTAATATATTCCTATAGAAATATTAACTGGTTTTCTGATGCCATATCCAAGCTTGCTGAATACATTTGCCAGTACTTGTTTGCCCATTTTTTCTGCCTTACATTCACATCTTTCATTAACTGTTGCTGAAATTCCTATTGTCATTCCAATAAATATCCAAACTGCATGGACAGACATTAATAAAGCTGTCATATAATGGAAACTATAGAACGGGATGAGAGATGAGCTTATGCCAATACAGAGCTTCAAGTCTTGGCATGGCCAGCTAACCTTCCTTTTTAGCTCATGTTTGGCTTATGCTATTGTCAAATATGACTGAAATTGATGAAGAAGCCAAACCAGAGTTCTCGTTACTTCTTGGTTGTATAAATATCACATATAAACAGTTGAGGAGGAGAAGTAAAATAACATGCTTCTGAAAACAAAACAAATCCATAGAGCTGAACCAAATATTCATGATAATGCTCCATTGTTCTCTGAACATTCACTGAATATGTAATAGCTGCAAAATGATATCTAACAATTGATTTTGAGATGTGTTTTCAATAATTACAACAATATTTGGCAGTAGATGGTATGCTATACTTAACTCTTGGACTGCATTTGAAAATTGATATGCTATGACATAGGTTGAGTTTGGACAAGCATATCTGCTTAATAAGCTGAAATATCAGTGAATTGATTAGATGTGTTTATGGGTCTTTGCTCCTGTTTTTACTTGAGGAATGGAATGAAGAAACCAGCAACTCTTTCATTAACTGTAGTTGCCTGGTAACAGCTTCATTATAAGCCAGGACAATATATTGTGGTTTGGTTGAAAACCTAGCATGTCCTGAAACTGTTAACTATGGTTTTCCAATTAGTAAAAAATGGGAAATAATGAAAGATTTCATTGTTTGCTCCCACTGCAAAAGGGACATTCTAACTCACTCATTTTGAGATTTCATATTTGAAGTTTGCCAAAACCTTTGAATGTCAATTTTAGATTTAAAGTTGCATAGTCAATTTCAAAATTCTGTGTTTCAAGTTTAGATTTTTTGGGGTAACATTTTGTTTCTACAACATAAATTTCTGGAGGGGGGGGGAATGACACAATGTTGTTTTGTCTTGTGTAGAGAGTGAGATATATACCCATAGACTAGTTTTTTTGGCCAAAAGTAAGTATCTGTCCCTAATAGTATTAGAGCAGAGACAGAGCTACTGTTTCATTACAAAAATGAGAGACAGAAAGTCACAACATTGCCTTGAAGTTTCATACTCTGGCCTGATAGGCTTCTGAGAATGTCATTCTACATGATCAAAACAATCTTCTTCAAGAATACAGTATCACTCAGTCCAGGATAGAATACCTTAGTCTTCTTTATCAAGTACCTCATGCCTACATTTCTATGCATCTCACCAGTCAGAGTAACAATATCAGCTGAAATAACTAGATATAGAGATGTTATCAATCTAGGGTTTTTGATTCTGGCCTTTACCTGATAGGACCTGCAGCAGAATCTGGATCTCGGGCCATCACAGTGCCTATGATTGTGCCCACCTCAATATCTTCATGGATCTCAAAAAGGTAAGAGGATCTGCTGAAAATGGGAGGCTCGTCCACATCTTCCACTGATATTTTCACAGTGGTTGTATCTTTGAAAGGTCCAAGGTAATAAAATCGCGGGTCGACATATAGATTCTCTGCCTCTACTTTCAAAGTATATAGCCTTCGATTCTCATAGTCCAGTGGCTGTAAGACAACATAGGGATGGAATAAACTCAATAACACAATGACACAAAAATATGTTAGGTGTCAGAAAGTCACATTGTGAAAAGTGGGATAGCATAGCAAGCACCATTTGCCATTTATGTAATGGCAGCAATATCACAGGTACCAAAGCACATACAATAATGACATATTCCAAGATACATATTGCTTGCTTTATGGTGTCGCACAGGCGTGGCTAACATGTGCCACCCCAAAATGTTGGGATACACCTGACTGTTGACCATGGGTTGGATGGGAGTTTAGAGTCCCAGATGTAGTGGGTTAAGTGTTGGGTCTCTATCCTGCTTTTGCCATGGACAAGTAGTCATGCATAGCAACTAGTGACTCTAGATGGGGAGGGCAAATTTTATTAAACACAAACACACATTTAGTCAATTTAATGAGGACTGGATGATCATGCAACTGAGAATAGGATTGCACATGTGCACTGGAAGGCTTCTCTTGAATACTGGTTTCCCTTGAAGAACTGGAATGCTGGGTTTAGACTGGTAGGGCTAGCCCAACCATTAGGCAGAGTTAAACATGCAGCTCAGATACACCCCGGTTCTTCCTCCTGAGCCATTACCCTCTGTCAGATGACAGAGTTGTTCATGCACAAGGCCTGTCCTAATTTTTTTTTAAATAATATTTATTACTTTTCCAACAATTTAAACACTACAAAAACAATACAATACAATACAATACAATACAATACAAAAACACTACATAACACTAACACATTAAACTAACAAAACAAAACAAAAACAGTTTAAAACACATCAAACAATTTCAGTATCTTATCTTTCATTCACTTATTTCCACGACCTCCTCACACCTCCCTTTTTGTATTCCACTTCTGTTAATTGTTTCAGCAATTCCTTTCCATCTTCCTCTGTTTTCTATCCTATAATTATCTTAACACATTCTAACCTTATTTTTCCCTTTAATTCTCTATTAATCTATTTATACTTAATTCCTTATAACATTTCTACTAAAGCCATATAACTTCATTCCAACATTTTTCTAACATTCATTAATTTTACAGTATTTCTGTAAATAGTCTTTAAACTTTTCCAGTCTTCTTCCACCAACTCTTCTCCCTGGTCTCAGATTCTGCCAGTCATTTCCGCCAGTTCCATATAGTCCATCAACTTCATCTGCCATTCTTCCCGGGTGGGTAAATCTTGTGTCTTCCAATACTTCGCGATGAGTATTCTTGCTGCTGTTGTTGCATACATAAAAAAAGTTCTATCCTTCTTTGGCACCAATTGGCCGACCATGCCCAGGAGAAAGGCCTCTGGTTTCTTCAGGAAGGTATATTTGAATACCTTTTTCATTTCATTATAAATCATCTCCCAGAATGTCTTAATCCTTGGGCATGTCCACCAAAGGTGAAAGAATGTACCTTCAGTCTCATTACATTTCCAACATTTATTGTCGGGCAAATGGTAAATTTTTGCAAGCTTGACTGGTGTCATGTACCACCTATAAATCATTTTCATTAAATTTTCTCTTAGGGCATTACATGCCGTGAATTTCATACCTGTGGTCCATAACTGTTCCCAGTCGGCCATCATTATGTTATGTCCAACATCTTGTGCCCATTTAATCATAGCTGATTTCACCATTTCATCCTGAGTGTTCCATTTCAACAGCAAGTTATACATTCTTGACAAATTCTTAATCTTTGGATCTAACAATTCTGTTTCCAATTTTGATTTTTCCACCTGGAAACCAACTTTTTTGTCCAAATTGTATGCCTCCATTATTTGGTAATAATGGAGCCAATCTTGCACTTTGTTTTTCAATTTTTCAAAGCTCTGCAATTTTATTCTGTCTCCATCTTGATCCAGAATTTCCCAATATTTCGGCCATTTGGCCTCCATATTGAGTTTTTTTCTGTGCCTTCGCTTCCATTGGTGACAACCATCTTGGGGTTTTCTTTTCTAACAAATCCTTATATCTTATCCAAACATTAAACAATGCTTTTCTAACAATATGATTTTTAAACGCTTTATGTGCTTTTACCTTATCGTACCACAAATATGCATGCCAGCCAAATGCATTATTGAAACCTTCTAAATCCAACACGTCAGTGTTTTCAAGAAGCAGCCATTCTCTCAGCCAGCAAAAAGCAGCTGATTCATAATAAAGTTTAAGATCTGGCAGGGCAAATCCACCTCTTTCTTTGGCATCAGTTAATATCTTAAATTTTATTTGAGGCTTCTTGCCCTGCCAAACAAATCTGGAAATATATTTCTGCCACTTCTTGAAACAATCCATCTTATCCAAAATTTGCAATGTCCTAATTAGCCAGTTGGCTCACACATATTGGAGAGAGATTTTCCACTGTCGTGCTTCTGTATATGAAATGGCGAGAGGGAACCATCTTGTCTCTAGGCAAAGCAGTGGCAGACTTTGGGCTCTCAAATTTCAGCGGCACCTTTTGCAACACTAACATCTGGTGGTGCCCACGTCTCACAGTCCGTTCTGCAGCATCACTGTGGTGTCCTTTGAGGTGTTCTGCCCAGCGCCACCGTATCAACAACATCACCCTAAAACCAACTCTGGGAAAGAGTGAATAGGCCCTCTTCTCCTCCTCCTCCTCCCCACTTGCCATCTCCCTGTGGACACAGCCTGCATCACTGCTCAGAAGAAGAAAGCAATTTGAGTGGAGACTGCTATTCCTTTCCCTTGCTTTTGGAATTGCTCGCAGAAGAAGCAGAGGGTTCTGGGATGTGGCAGTAAGCCTCCTGCTGGGATCTGAGTAGTTGCCCAATGATTCCAGTCCTGAACTTGGCACTGAATCAGACTCTTCTTCCAATTGGGGAAAAGGATGGGTGTGCATTGTGGGGAAGATATCCACCACTAGAACAGTTGCCTGGCCATTGAATCAGCTACTCATGTCCTCCTTGCCCTCAATAGTACTGCAGCTGAAGCAGGAGCACTGCACAATTGTTCAGACCATGAACTGGCACCCACACTGTGGAGAATGCACATGTGCCAAAATGTTATGATCCAGTTTCGTACCTAGGGATCTGTTTTTCCCAGCCATTTGTCAAAAAAGTTTGAAATGAGTGTCTCTAATGCAATTTCAGAAGAGGCAGATCTACACATCATTGCATCAGATCAGAGGTGGTGACATGACTGAATGCTTTTGGAAACCCATAACAACTGAAAAACTTGATTCCAGAGAAAAGGATTCAAGCTTTCCTTTTGATATGCTAGCTTTGAAAGTGCAGGGTTCCTTCTGCCCACTGGCAAATAATTTTAGAAACACTGTCCTCAATGAAATGACCTGGTCTAGTTTTATCAGCATATCTGCTGTTTTTGTGACCTTGGATTCAGTGGGCAAGTCACTACTTCCTAACTACCTTCTAATGCAATGGAGTGGTTGTGACTATGCAATGAGACAATCCCATCCATGCCTGTATGCATCAAATTGTCAGAAGGATTTGATGTAAAAACAAATACTTCACTTGACTCTTCTGTCTTCAGCTCTCAAGTGCATATGCAAGTAGCGAATCTTTAGGTAATAGCAGTTTCCATGCAAAATCCAGGGTCTCATCAGTAGCACCATATCAAGCAGTTTTATAGTCCACAACATTGGTCAAGTGACCACCATAAGGCTAATTTTTATGAATATATATATATATATATATATATCCTGAATTTAAATTATCTTATGGAAAATCTGTGCATAACCTGGTTCATTTACATTGCATTTCATGAATCTGACATCAGGGAAGTTTTGGCAAAATATATGTGACATTTTGTCAGCAAGTGCTTTTTAAAGTGAGAAGATGAAAAGTTTGGAGTTATAATTAGAATACTTCTTTTTTTGGGGGGGGGGGTGGATAGACAAGAGATTCCATTCTCCGATTTCTCTGTGACTGCAGATGAAAAGTGCTAGCTAATTAATGATTTCCAGGGAATGAACAAGCTGAGAGAAAGTGCAGCTTGTCTGACATTGGAGCAAAGCTTCATTAGCATGCACAATATAACAGAGAGATATCAAAAGGTGGACCCAAAATGGATTCTGGAGACATTTTTGAATTTATTTTCCCTCAAATCTTTAAAGTTAAATTAGTGCTCATGAAGGATGCCAGACTGTCTTGGCGCTTAAATCTTCTATTTACTCTGAAGTTATATTACGTTGGCAACAGACGCTCCCTTCCCGCATTATTGAGACTCTCCTCCCTCCATCTTAACCTTGTTCTCAAGGAGAACTTTACGTTGTACATGCTAATTATGTCTCAGATATATTCTCAGGTTTTCAAACTGCCAAAGGTACTGCACCTCAATGCAACAATAGTATCCGAATAGATACTGAAAGGGTGACACAGAATAGCTATGTGGACACCCATTCATTGTGGCTGTGCAGGACCTTAACCCCTTGAGAAACTGCTCTGGAACTATGAAAACTCTGTTGGCTTCCCACAAATCTCTAAGGCACTTCCTCTCAAATTTTCTCTGAATTTTGCTTTGGCAAAATATGGCAACAGCTCTAATGATGACAGCCTTTCCTCTTTTGATACAAATATGAAATACTTTGCATTTGGGTCCACTCTTCTACCTCTGAATGCATTACTGTTAAAATATTTTTTCCTACAATAAGCAACCTTTGCTAAATTGAAAGGTATAGCAAATAACTTATGGTTTCCAGACGTCCCCGTTTCCCGGGGATAGTCCCCAGATTCACAAATCTGTCCCCGGACAAAATCCGCCCCTGGAATGTTCACGGATTTCATTTAATGTCCCTGGATTTATATTTTAAGTGTTGCAGATTTATTAGTAGGGAATGAATGTTGTGTGATTGGTTCAACGGCACAAGACACACCATATAGGGACTTCCGGCGAGGCAAAATGGCAGGCGCCACAGCAGCAAGCAGCTCCTGAAGCCAGCCAGAGCCAACTGCACTACCAGTCTGACTCTGGGCTGCTGAGACTGCCACTGCCACTGCTGAGGGGGAACTGGGGACGCCCGGCGCGTCAACTGGGGGAACTGCTGACACACAAACCCCGCAACCCAAATCAAGCCAGGAGCATGAGCACCCGGTCACCCGGTTGACTGCCCAGCGGTGCTCTGGGGCCAGGAAAACCCTGGAGCCAATGTAGGGAGAAAGGGGAGAGGAGAAGGAAGAGAGAGAAAGAGGAAGAAGAAAAAAGAGGGGAGCCCCGACCTTGCCGCGCTGCTGCAGGTGCCACCGCTGAGGTGGAGAGGTAGGAGAGCACCGGGAGGGCAAGGACATGTGGACAAGCCCAGGTCTGACCTGAGCCTACTCCATGGCAGCTAGTGCTCCAAGAGAGCAGGCCAGGACACAGAGAAAGGCCGTGTGACAAAGGAGACCACAGAAGAGAAGTGTCCCCGGATTCTTTGAAAAAAATCTGATAACCTTCAAATAACTGCACAGCTATAATTGTGGAATCTAAAACGGAGCTACATGGCATTTCTGGACAACCAACAAACTTTTAATAATGGTACCAACTCTGCGAAATATAAAATGTAATTTCAAAGCTGATTATTTTAAAGCACCTAGTAATTCATGGAGATAATACACACCTTTCGCACTGTTATAACTCCTTCCTGTGTCTCCTTCTGTGTAACAATGTCAAACATATCCCTTCCATCACCATCAATAATGCGGTATTCAAGTTCTGCGTTCCTCCCAATGTCTGCATCAGAGGCTTTTATGGTTCCAATGGCAGTGCCAACCGGGGAGGATTCTGGGATACGAAGGTGGACTGAGCCTGCAAGGAAGAAAGTCAGAAATGCATAAGCAGTTGTTAGTTACAAATCATGTGTGATTAACAGCAGTATCCCATAATGTCTACCCAGAATCAGAAGCATATCCCACTGAATTCACTGGAGCTTACTCCAGGGTATAAGATTGCAGTTTCATGACTCCATAGCTTTAGCCATTAAGTCAAGAAAGTGACACTTTGGGTTATACTGATTTCATTCAAGAGACATAACTTTGGAAAACCTTGTATGTGAGAAGGCTTATTCTATCTGTCCAACTTCCCAATGGGCTTTTCCAACAGTGAGCCCCAATCGTAACTTTAGGTTTGAACATTTAAAGTAGATTAAAGGTTTCTGCCACCCTACTGCAACAAATCCAGTTAAAGATGGACTTTTGCGGTTTGGAAAGTGATGTGAAATGTATTGCAAAGTGTGGAATGAGTGAATGATTAATGGGAAGGCTTGAAGCAGGTCTTAGTTCTGGAACATTAGTTTTTCACACCAGAATTTATCCTATATATGCCAGTCTTTCTCATTTTGAAGTTGACTGAATCCACGAAGTCATGCCTTTATTCCAGCAAGCCTGTTTTATTTGAAGTTCACTTTCAAACACGGCATTAAAGCACTTTTAACAAAGGAGGAGCAGATGAGTTGCCCAACAGCACCAACAGTTGCTTGGCTGCAGGTAAAATTTCACCTAATTATGTGTATATTCAAACACATACACATGCTTCCAAAAATGCTCCCCAGTTATGTTTAACATTGATGCTGGAAAACAGTTCTCATGTCTTTGGGAGCTTCCCGTAAGTGTGAATAAGCCTTCCTCATTGATATTAATATTACAGCATTCTGATAATAACTGCATAAGAGGTGTTCAATTTCATTAGTCCCCTTGATACATGGTCAAGTCAGCAAATCAGATAAGAGATAAGAGCAGTTTAGTGTACAATTTCACATTTGACATGAATTTTATTGATTCCTCTTTTAAGAAAGAATCAATAAGGCCTTCAGCACTTCCATGAATCAAGCACTTTTTAGGCCCTTTCATGAACCCATTAGTTTTGTTACTTTTAACGTGATATAAGTCTCATTAATAAAGAGTCTGTCAAGGGAAAGGGGAGGAATGCTTAATAAAAAAAAATGACCCATTGCAGAAGGAGGGAGTTTGGGTTATGTATGCATCTGTAGATATAAATTTGCTCTGAAGGGACTTAGCAAACATCCTCTACAATAGATGGAAGGAGCGTGTGACCAAAATAACAAACGAAATGAAATGAAATACAGGAAATCTATTTAGAACAGAGAGTGAACCTTCAGCTGATAACATACTGATGTCTAGAATACTGTATTATTCACTTTCATATGAATCACAATCCCAGTATCAAAACATATGCAGGGAAATACTAAATAAGCTGTGTCAATCAGTCAGAAGAAAACATTGTTTTCATAGGGACTAAGCAGACTTTCCTCTGAAAACAATGTACACTGCAACATTTTTTTTTAAAAATCAAAATGCTCATGGTTAAAGGGTTATGATTGCAGCTATGCAGATTACAGTTTACTTTCCATTAAGTTGTAGGAAAACTTGATTACAATAAGATCAGAAAGCTGAAACATTATCCCACTTAACCTCCCTCCCCCCTTTTCTGCTGCCGGTGCTTAAAATTGGTCTAAACATCTGAATATTATTGTTGATTGCCTGCATTCTATATGCACATTTTATGTGAACTCTGCAGAAGTAGCAAATGGGTTCTCTCTGTGTGTGCATGGAGAAACAATAACATGGCATGTGTCATTCCCACATCTTGCCACCGATAGACAAGTCAGCCTTCAGAGATGAAGCACACATTACTAGAATGAAAAAGGTAAAGGACCCCTGGATGGTTAAGTCCAGTCAAAGGCGACTATGGGGTTGTCACGCTCATCTTACTTTCAGGCCGAGGGAGCCGGTGTTTGTCCACAGACAGCTATTCCGGGTCATGTGGCCAGCATGACTAAACCACTTCTGGCACAACAGAACACACAGCAGTACCTATTTATCTACATGCACTGGCGTACTTTTGAACTGCTAGGTTGCCAGGAGCTGGGACAGAGCAATAGGAGCTCACCCCATTGTGGGGATTCGAAATGCCAACCTTCTGATCAGCAAGCCCAGTGGTTTAGACCACAGTGCCACCTGCATCTTTACTATTGCCTCCTGGTGGTAGACATGCCCCATCCAGTCAGCAGCATTTAGAAGTACTTATCTAGTGACTCATCATCACCATCAGGTTGACCATCTCCATGCCTCAAGTTGACCCTCCTGGAAGATGTCTGGGCCTATGGTCACCTGTTGAGTACATGCAAATAGTATGTCCCTTGCCACAGAGACCATGTATGATAGCATTGCTGGGATAACCCTGGTCTGTGGCTCCAACTCTTAGATATCTTCCAGATTGGCCTTCCCATCCAGAATCGCCACCCTGTGTTCATTCACATATGGACACAGACACTGTTCTTGCAAAATTCTTATCGACTCTTTTCTGTATTGCATTCCTGTTGTTGTTGTTTTCAGCCCTGACTCGTGGCAATTTTTGTATAATTTAAACAAACAAACAAAAAATCCTTCCAGTAGCACCTTAGAGACCAACTAAGTTTGTTATTGGTATGAGCTTCCGTGTGCATGCCCACTTCTTCAGATTGGTCTTCAGAAGAAGTGTGCATGCACACGAAAGCTCATACCAATAACAAACTTAGTTGTCTCTAAGGTGCTACTGGAAGGAATTTTTTTATTTTGTTTCGACTACGGCAGACCAACACGGCTACCTACCTATATAATTTAAAATGCAGTTACCACTCCAACCTATCCAGTGTGGACAAGGAAAGCACTGTCAAGTCTTTAAGTTACTTGTTTGTTGGCAGTTCAATGATAAGTAAAGAGCCAAGTCTTTATCAAGAGGAAACAATACAAATATGTAAGACCATTCAATGGCAAACTTTTAAATACATTAGAAAGGAACTTTGCTGACTGGAACTTACTTGTAGATAACAGTACAGAAAGGGTCTTTGTCATAGAGAAATACATTGCAGCATTATACACCATGACAGTGTGTAAACTCTATTCCCTTGTATGTTATTGCAGTGGTGCAGAACCTGCTATTCTGTGGCTTGATCTTGACACTGGAATGGGAAGATCTGGACCTTCCTTTCCTATCAGATGCAATCTTCCTTCTAAAGCTTCTGAACATTACTATGGAACTATGGAACAGAGCAAAAGAAGTGTAGTTCCTGCATACTTGCGCTAATGTACAAAAGGATTCCAAGAGTCAAAGTCAATGTTACCATAGTAATCTCAGATTATTGTATTCCTTTTGACACTTGGGAGCAATAATAACTCAATTTAAACAAGCAAAATCATTCAACTGATAATGGTAAAATAATGGGTGCTGCAAAATCAGCCACCTTTGGTATGTTATCAAAGGGTTGCAGAAGAATGTGACAGCGCCAAACAAATGGAAAACACAAAGGAAACTGTTTCTCGATACCAAGAGTTTTCAGTCTCTCTAAAATATGCTTTCTAAGGGTGCGGGGGAGAGAGAAAGATTCAATATATTACAAAATACAAACTCCCTCTGTTTTCCTTGTGCTTTTTCAATACAGTCATACCTCGGGTTACAGACGCTTCAGGTTGCGTTCTTTTGGGTTATGGACTGCCGAAACCCGGAAGTACCGAAACGGGTTACTTCCGGGTTCCTGCGGCTGCGCATGCGCAGAAGCGCTAAATCGCAACCCATGCATGTGCAGTTGCGCCGCTGCGAGTTGCGAACGTGCATCCCGCATGGATCACATTCACAACCTGAGCATCCACTGTATAGACAATGTTATTCAGGAGGCATTTTTAAGCCTGGTTGTCATTGTTTTCTAAAAAAAAAACCTTGGTAGCTCAGGAGGCAGGGTTTAAAAAACTGAGTAGTACTTTTACTAATGTGCTTTTAGTAAGATTTATTTACTTTAATCCAGTATGCATATGTTAGGCCTCCAACAATATTTTTAAAAGGGGTTCTCTTTTCCAGATATTTCACCGAAGAAGGATTGAACAGGCCTTTTGTGAATCAATAAATACATCAATACAAATATTCCGGGCACCTCTTTTTTTACGTTTTACGTTATGGCATGCTAAGACTGAATATCACCTCACATAACTTGCAGCAGATCTTAAAGTTGTTAAAAACAATGACACATAGAATTTGCATCCATGGGACAGCTGGGGGGGGCGGGCTATGCTCCTATTTCTTCCTCTCTCAGGCTATGTGTCTCTCTCTGTGCGTGTGTCCATCTACAAAGTTAATAAGTCAAAAGAATCATTCTAGAGAGTGCAAGTCTAACCAAAAGTGACATGTGGATGCTAAATTCAAATGAGAATGTGTGTGTGTGTGTGTGTGTGTGTGTGTGTGTGTAGAGAGAGGAGGGAGGTTTGAAATATCAATTGAAGCCTATGTTTGAGCATGGCATCAACCTCAATATTACCACGGGCCTTTCATCGCAACTTGAGCCAATGTGTAGTAAAAGCTGCACAGAATTGGGTGGGTGCTCAGCCAGGGTGCTGGTGCTTCCAGGGCAGTGCCTTGCACATCGGGGCCCAGATCCAATAGCCTGGGTGGTGCTCAGTAATTTTCAAAAAAAGCATACGGCGAGAAAGATGGCAAGCAAGTTAAGAGAGCGCGAGAGGAGTTATGTGCAGTTCAGTAGGCCAGATGCATGCCTTTATCCTGCTGCGTGTTGTGTGTATGTGTGTAGCCTCATTGACTTTAGCACAGTAACCTGATTATTTCCTAGGTTGGAAGCACATACAGCAGAATGTGCCTTCTACACCCATCTCGCTGGCTTGGGCGCGACATCTTCATCCATGCCCCAACTAGCGTGCTGCCGTGACATCACGATGCAGGGGCCAATTTGGTGCCCCTGCCTGCCACAATGGCTTCTCATGCAAAGTCATTGTACGATTAATAAAGGTGCAATTTCCTCCTTTGCATCCAATCACCCTATTCTGGAAAAGTCATTTTTGTCATATCTATTTCTTTAGTATGGAGTCTAGTGAAGAGCTTACAAATTAAAATAAATTTAAAAGTTTGTGTTGTTTAGTCTAATCGGAGGAATTAATCTGCTGAGCGTAGGAATTGTGGTGCTCTGTACGTTATCTTCTTTCTTTCCTCCTCCTCCTCCTCCTCCTTTTTTTCATTCTTTCTTCTTCTTCTTCCTCTTTAAAAAAGCTTTTCAACTGTAATCCAGCTTGGTGTTAGAACCGCTTTGGCCTAGTAAAAAGCTAAAGGTAAAGGACCCCTGACAGTTAAGTCCAGTCACGAACAACTCTGGGGTTGCAGCGCTCATCTCACTTTACTGTCCAAGGGAGCCGATGTTTGTCCATAGACAGTTTTTCCGGGTCATGTGGCCAGCATGACTAAGCCGCTTCTGGCGAACCAGAGCAACGCACAGAAATGCCATTTACCTTCCCGCCAGAGCGTTACCTATTTATCTACTTGAACTTTGACGTGCTTTCGAACTGCTAGGATGGCAGGAGCTGGGACCGAGCAATGGGAGCTCACCCCGTTGCAGGGATTTGAACTGCCAACCTTCCGATCGGCAAGCCCTAGGCTCAGTGGTTTAGACCACAGTGCCACCCGCGTCCCTTTTGGCCTAGTAATGATGCTCAAATTCAGGAGTCAGAAGTGAACTCTCCCTGCTTAGAAAAACAACAAGTCATTATTAACCAAGCCCCCAAATTTGGGTTTGGCTTCTAATGACCCATCTTGATGCCATTCAATTGCAATTCTCCACTTTCCATGGCAAAGGACAGGGTTGTAGGAATGATAGGGAGAGCTAGTTTGGTGGGCTTCAGCAGCTTTCAAGACCTCATCTTTTAAGGTATTGTTGGGTCTGGATAATTCTGAGTCTTCTCAGAAAGAACCCGTTGCTTCTGGGGAGCCCAGGAAATGGAGTTTCCAATGCCTCTCTACTTAACAGATTGACAGATGTGAGTTTCTTAAGTTCTCCCATAGCAATTAACTGAAACCAGCAGCAACCAGACCTTACATATGCAGTTTCTGAAGCCCCCCATACCGACCCATTGGTGGGAAGGGCTTGGGTTCAGCTGCAAGGGCTTGGTTTTTCCAAACTTCCTTGGGGAAAGCTCTGAAGTAAGATTCACAAACTCTTCCTGAGACCAGAAAGCATGGAAAAACTTCAACAAATTGCATTGCCATTGCAAAGGGGCTTTTCCACCGGTACTCATGCCTCCATGATTTCAATAGGCTTAAAATGCACATAACTGTGAAGTGGATAGCCTTGTATTTACAAAGTTCCTTAGCTTTTTAAAAAGCAGCTTCTGCCCTCAGGTTAGATGGGTCCTGCTTCAGCATTTAATCAGGGAGTTCATTGTACTCACCCCTTCCTCTCTTTTTTTGTTTTGTTAATTCCATTGATAAAATTATTAATCTCCAGGTCGCAGCAAAGGATGATTTGTTCTTAAAGCTCTGCTTATTTCCCCCTCCCCTTCTCAATTCCCACCTTCACCCCAAATACCAAGAACTATTCTGGGGTTTCTGCAACTGTGACTGCTGCTGCCCCTCCCCAAACAAGGATGTCCCCGTTTCATTTAATTTTTGTTTTTAATAACAGCGAATAAATCCGTGTATAAGCCTTGTCTTCGAGTGTGTGCCCCATAATCTAGATTTGCTTTAAATTAAACCAGATGGCAGTCGCCTCACTCTTTTATTCTGATGCTTTTGTAGTACAGAAGGGCTATTAAAGGAAGCTTACTCTGGGGGAATCGAGGCGGATTGTCGTTGACATCAGTCAGGGTGATGTTGACTGTCGTGGTCCCCGATAATCCACCCATCTGGCCTCCCATGTCTTTTGCCTGAATGACAACTTGGTACTGCTCTCGGTTTTCCCTGTTCATGTTTGGCAGAGCTGTCCTGATGATGCCTTGGAAGAAAACAAGTAAGCATTTGTTAACATTGCTGGCATTCACTTTGCACAGCAAGTCACACACACACACAAACACACAAATAATGTACCCATTATAACATTGAGAGGGTATATTTTAAAATATCAGGAATAGTTCAGCAAAAGATTGGCCAACACGGTGAGAGATCAAAAGCAAGACGTAGAGAAAAATCTATATATTAGTGGGTAAAAAAATCTTTGCATTATTATTATTATTATTATTATTATTATTATTATTATTATTATACTGCCCTTTAACCAAAGATCCCAGGGAAGTGTTTAACATTAAGAAAATAATTCATGCAGCATAATCATAAAAACATAATCATAAAACAATCATAATAACAGCCCCCACCCCGTGTTTAACAGGCCATAGCTTATTTAATGGCCGATGGCCTGGGTAGAGAGGAATGTTTTTGGCTGGCTTGTAAAGACATGAAATGATGGCACCAAGCAGTCTCTTTAGAGAGAGCATTTCATTGATGGGGAGCCACCACAGAAAATGCCTGTTCTCATGTTGTCACCCTCCAAACCTTTCAGGGAGGGGGGACATATAAGCTAGAACAGTGGTACCTCGGTTTTCGAACCCAACCACCGATCCAATTTACTAGTTTAGTAAATGCGGATGACATTTTACACAGGAGAGCATTAAAAAAACAACCCACTCCTTCCTTTCTTATAAATCTGAAGTGGTACAGTCCAGAAATCTACCACCTCTTGCTGTATACTGTATATAAATTAGCTCTTACATTGCATCCCCTATATTTTTCCCACCCCCTTTCTGTTTTCAAAGTAGAAAATTAATATATCCAGGATTTATTCAGATTACAGTCATCAAATTTGCATGTTAACACTTCTCACACTTCAGAGTTTCTGAAGTTACCAGAATATGGCATGCAGCTATAGGTACTCTGCTTCACTGAGTGACTGGCAAAAAGGCATTTGAGTCCTTCTTGAAATATAGAAAAATAGCAACAGCATCCCTGACCTGTTTCTGGCTCCACAGAGAAATATGGTTGGCCTTGAAGTATGCTATAGATGATTCTGGCACTGTTGCCATAGGAAGGGTCATCCGCGTCAGTGGCTGTAACTTGCACAACAGAAGTACCTATTCAAATAAAACATAGTTCCGTCATCTCGGATGCTGAAAGCATTATACACTGCATTCAATGTAGCCCTATTAACAACTCCAATTTTCCATTCTGCCTCTGGAATCTCTTGTCATAGAAGCCCACATTTTAAAACAAAGAATCTTGGGTGGAGAGTCAAGGACATCTGGGTACCAATTTATATCATCAGTGCCTCTGCATGATGCCCGGTGGGTCATGGACGCTCCAGAAATCTTCAAAGCATGGAGGCTAGCAAAGGTCTAAATCAACACAGTTTTGAGCTGCAGGACTCAAGGTTACCCAGATGCCTCTCCCTGCATAAATTAACTCCTGAAACGCCCCCTCCTTGCATGAATTAGTTGAGTGACACTAATTTCCCTTGTAAATACTGAATAGAGTTTCAAGGCTGTATTTCATTTCACATTGACAAAAATATATCGTGGTGTGAGCAAAATAAAAATGGGTTCAGACACCACTGGTGGCAGACCATGGGGTCTCAAATTTCAGTGGTGTGCTGTGCAAAACCAAATCTATACACACACACCCCGGCTTCTCATGATCCATTCTAAATAATAACTGTGGCAACTCTTGCAGTGCCCCTGAGCTTTGGCACCCAGTGTGACAGAACCTGCCATGCTCCCCCAAATCCACATATGATACCATCACCTGCATACAGAAAAGAAGGTTCCCTGTTTTCAGTTCTAGGCAGTTTTCCCTGATTATAACACAGTGGTGCCCCGCAAGACGAATGCCACGCAAGACGGAAAACTCGCTAGACGAAAGGGTTTTCCGTTTTTTGAGCTGCTTCGCAAGACGAATTTCCCTATGGGCTTGCTTCACAAGACGAAAAACGAAAATGTCTTGCAAGTTTGTTTCCTTTTTCTTAACACCGTTAATACAGTTGTGACTTGACTTCAAGGAGCAATTCATAGATCGCAGTGTGGTAGTTAAACTTTTAAAACTTTTTTGGAGGTTTTTGGATTTTGGGTTGGGGTGTTTGGAATTCAAAGACTTGGTGTTGTGGAGGGGTTTGCAAGAATCTGGAAGCTTGTGTGTTTTTTTCCTGCATTTTTATGATTTTCTGTGACCATTGGGCCACTCTGCTGTTTTTTTTAAAAAAATCTGGATTTGAATTTCTGTGTGGTGGGTGGCTGGGGGAACAGTTGAGGAGGGGGTTCTTCAGCAAGAAGCAAAGAGTGGAAGAGGAACCTTCTTCGAGTTGTCCCCCAGAGTCTTAGAAAATGTACTGCACACTTCGTTGATTTTTATATGTTTTTCTGTCATGTTTAGAAACTTAATTTATTGTTCCTTCGATTTTTGAAATGCTCTTTACAGTATGTGTGACTTTAAAGAGCACTTAATAAACTCTTGTTGTACCAAATTTGGCTTTGTTTGGACTTTTTTTGACCATAGGAACGCATTAATTGAAGTTCAATTCATTCCTATGGGATTTCGTGCTTCGCAAGACAAAAAATTCGCTAGACGAAAAAAACTCGTGGAACGAATTAATTTTGTCTTGCGAGGCACCACTGTATATAGGAGGAACTCAGTCCTGAAGGAGCGTCTCCACCCCTATCGTTCAGCCTGGACACTGAGGTCCAGCTCCGAGGGCCTTCTGGAGGTTCCCTCACTGCGAGAAGTGAGGTTACAGGGAACCAGGCAGAAGGCCTTCTCAACAGTGGTGCCCACCCTGTGGAATGCCCTCCCATCAGATCTCAAGGAAATACACAACTATCTGACTTTTAGAAGACATATGAAGGCTGCCCTGTTTAGAGAAGTTTTTAATGTCTGATGTTTTATCGTGTTTTCATATTCTGTTGGGAGCTGCCCAGAGTGGCTGAGGAAACCCAGCCAGATGGGCAGGGTATAATTAATAAATTATTATTACTACTACTACTATTACTATTATTATTATGGCACCTCTTTTTCTAGAAAGATAGCACTTTTGGTATGTACTTTAGGCATCCCTCTGCCTACAAAACTAGCATGTTACAGAGAATGCCAGGACAGAATTCTGTCCCCTCCCAAGCTAGTTTCCTAGGTGGAGGATTTTTAAAAAAATATTTTGTACATTCAGTCATCTGCAGCCCCACCTGATGTTGGAAGTGGTAAAGTGGTAAAGGATCTCCCTTACCCTTGCATGCTCTCCAGATGTTTGGGACTTCCATTGCTGACTGGAGCTGCAGTTGTAGCACAAAAGATCTAGAACCTACCAGGTTGGGGAAAGCTGACTTACACTGCTCCAGAGGGGTCTCTCTTTTTTAGATCTACCTATAGATACCCAGAAATGATCTTGGGGACCTTTTAGATGCAAAGCACATTCTCCAGCACTGACCTACAGTGATTTCTGCTGAAGGGTCTTATGCAAGTTTGCTACCTTAGCAAGACCCAAGCCGTGATGATTCTGATGGAAAGATGTTGTGCCCCTCCAGTTGTTGTTCTTGCTATTCAGCAAGAATTAGCCTTCTAAATTCCAGCTCAAGGCTATCCTCTTTTTCTTCATCGTTTATACTGTGCCTTGTGAAATTACTGTTCGTGTTTCTTTAAAAGAAAACCTCTTCAGCATCTTCCTTGGAGGTTAATACGAAAGAAAAATGGGGCAGTATCTAAACGTTCCCAAATCCGCCGCTGAACAGTGCATCGTATTTCTTCCCTCTTACAATGACTGTGATTTTGCCTTATGTGGTAGAGTAGACATTTTAACGAGGAGATTGAATTAGTGGCCACAAATGTGAAGTTACCATGCTAATGCTTGCATGTGTTTCTTTATTTCCCCCTGTGGGATTTGAATGCTGAATGTAGTCTTTTCACGCATTATGTGACAGCAAATCTGGGTTTGCCAAAAGATTTTGCATTCAATAGGGAGCTGCAGCACATTTGGGCTCTCAGCTGAGTGTGCCTGTAAGGTAGATGGTTGTTTCAGTCACACATACGTTTTGTGGGTATGAATCAGCCCTCTGTCAGTCTCCAAGACTTTATTCTCATTGAAGAGAATGTGGCATCCCTTCCTCATGTGTAACCTTGTGTATACTTGCTGAGAAAGGTGCAGACATGGATTGGTGACCTTTGCTCTTTTTATTGCAATTTGTGCCCATATATGAAATATATTGAAGATCAGGTAATATGCAGTTCCCTTATAAATAGTAGAAAGCAGTAATGAGATCCATATAGATGCTATTATTTTAAGTACAGTGCTACCTCGGTTTTTGAACGTCTCGGAAGTCGAACATTTCAGTTTTCGAACGCCGAAAACCTGGAAGTAGCTGCTTCGGTTTTTGAACGCTTTTCGGAAGTCAAATGTACATGCCACATGGCTTCCCTATTGAGTTTTCTGGAAGTAAATGTTTCTGGAAGTAATTGCTTTGGTTTTCGAATGTTTCAGAAGTCAAACAGTCTTCCGGAATGGATTACGTTCGAAAACCGAGGCACCACTGTATAGATTTAGAATTTGATTCAGAAGGCAAAAATATTTGTTCCTGGGGATGCAAGGTAGTTACCAAAAACTATAGGCCTGTGTCTCCTCCTTCTCACTTCCTCTCTTTGTGGGATATGACATCATAGAATCATAGAGCTGGAAGGGACCCCTAGCGTAATTTAGTGCAACCCCCTGCAATGCAGGAATCTCAGCTAAAGCATCCATGACAGATGGCCCTCCAATATGTGTTTAAAAACCTCCAAGGAAAGAGAATCCACAACCTCCAGAGGAAGACCGTTCCACTGTCGAACAGCTGTTACTATCAGAAAGTTTCTCCTGTTGCTTAGTCAGAATCTCCTTTGTGTTTTTCCTGCTTCCACTCCTCTTCACTGGTTGATCTTTGTGGGTAAATTCAGTGATGGTACCACATCATATCTGACACATGGCCAGGGGAGCAGGGGGAGGAAAAGATGGAGGACTACTACTTTTGATGGCTCTTTTGTGTCTGAGGAAAGGCTGTGACTCAGTTGCAGAGCATGTGTTCTGCATGCAGAAGGTCACAGTTTAATCTCCTGGCATCTTTGAAATATTGTGTTTTAATGTTGTAACCCGCCTTGGGACCTTCGGGTAAAGGGCAGGCAATTAGTTAGCTAACAATATTGTTGGGGCAGGACTTTGGGGCAAATGTCCAGGGTTTCACTCATCACAATACGCTAGGGCTACCATGTTTCAAGCAGTGAAAATCTGGACAGAAAAGTTGTTGAGCTTCTTTAAGTTTTGCCTAAAATTGCTGAACTTTTTGGGCAAAATCGCAAAAGCAAAGGCCAGGAAATGGGGGGGAACGGAACTTCCAACATGGGCTGCCATGTGTTCAGGTGTTCCCAGATATTGGACTGATTTCCACCTCCACACTGCTGCCAACTGCACTATTCCGGATATGTCCAGACACATGGCAACCCTAAAATATGCAGAAGAACTCCCAAAATAAAGCAGAACACTACACTCTGGGGAAGAAACCTCTGTAAAGCAGGTAAATCTGAAGACTAAAATTACCTAACTGCATTGCCAAGTTCTGCTTATTCATCAGTCAATCTGCAATGGATATTCAAGGTAGAAGGTATTTATTCCTAAACTTTAAAGTTGGGGTCTTTTGCAAAGAAGTCCTGAAACACTACCACTTGCCTCCAGAACACTTGCACTCTTGCTAGAGGCTCAGGCAAAGCACAGTTTCATTCATTGCCGATAAAATGATGGATAATTAAAGCAGGAGATGGGATTCAGTCTATTGAATTCGATAAGTTTGTAATGAATAATTTGGCCAGCTTTAAAGGCATGGTGGGTTCTTTGCTGTAGCTTCCTTGCCTTCCGCTTTGCCGCACTGAAATGTATGAGCTTCTAATCAGCTAGAAGACTTAATCCGTTCCAATCCATTTGAATACATTAAGGGCCTTTCCCTTCTGTTTCATCTCAACATTTAGCCGGTTTAGAAACCGCACAGCCTTCAAAGGATTCTGAGGTACAATTAAAGCGAGCCCTGACTCACCCTTGCAGCACCACCCGGCTTGTTACTTTTCTGCTTATTATACTGTTACCTTTTTAGAAAAATCGTTTTTATTCCTTGCCTTGCCAGCCAGTTTCTAATCCCTTTCAGTGGTGCACCCAATGCCCCGTGCTTTGTAGATCAAATCTTTTGAAGAATCAACGAGTCCTTTAGCAATGCATCGGAGGGTATCAGAAGCATTTTGGAAAGCCAAACAAATTGCAAGACACCATTTCTCACTTCTTCCTTTTTGTTTCGTTTCGTTTTTCTCAGTTCAGGAATAAGCTAAAACATGATTCTGGCTCACCAGGCAGGTATCTCTTAACACTCTTCCTCATATTTGCTGAAAGCAAATTCTACAGCACAATGTAACACTTCTTCTTTAGAAAGCTGAAGTGTACTACTAAGCTATGGAAGGAGGCGGGGGGTCAGAGCTTCCTAACACAGCACCTATTTTGCAAAGACAAGATCCCAGGATTCAGTCTCTGCGATTTATCTCAACATCTGAAGTAACACAGGGGAGAATGGATTGCATCCCATGAGGCAGCAGTGGTTGGTGGGAAATGACATTTTAAAACATTCTTCCCTGTGTTAAAAACTCTCTGAAACACCAGCGCAGGTGGGAAAGGGTTGGAACAGCATGTTTCTCTTGCTTCCATAGATTTCTAGATGCAGGAGGTGCATTCAGAACTTGAATCCCCGACTAGCAGGCTGAATTAGTGCAAGCCACATTGTAATTGTCACCTCATTTCCACCTCATTTTTCTCTCTGTGTGTTTGTGTTTGTGTGTATTTTGCCCAAGCTTAAGTCTTTCGAGCTTCCAGAACCAAATTACATAGGATGAGCAGGTATAACGACACAGAAACAGATACCTGGATGACACCACTGAAAACTGCAGATTGGGTGAGCGCCAAAAATATTTTTGAATGCTCTTTAAAATCAACAACACCTTGCAGGCAGCAAACTAGTATACATTAGACGGCCCTCTTTCTGGTGCAGCTAATACATGCAATAAACTTTCTTTAAATCAAAAATGGAAGAACATTTGACAACTTGACACTCTGCCTGCAGACAGCAGCGCTACAGTGTCAAGAGTCTGCCACTTATTCTTATTTCCCTCCTTATTCTGCAAAATGGAGACCTCTCAAAAAGATTCTTTCAGGTCATTCTTTAAATGAGATCCCTGTGATAGTCTTCTTAATGCGACAGGAATGACTCCAAGCATGGTGATCATAGCAGATAGCCACAAATTCAAAGGGGGTGGTGGTGGAAGGAGATGAATGTCCCAGGCCACTCCTGTAAATGCAGAGTAAGTGTGTTTTAAGTCTGTTTGCTCTGCCTTAAGTGGCAGAGCAGTTTGCTGGGTGGAGAAGGGATGCACTGTGCTTGCATGTCCCCCACTTCAGAGCAGTGCTACAGTTCTGTAATTTTAAATTCTGGACCTAATGCTCCTGTTGGGAGGGGGCAGGGGTGCCAACTTGAATAAAATATTGGGGAGGGGGCATGTAAGCCCCACCCTATATAATTAATCATATGACATGGTGCACAAACACCACTTGAATGGCAATGCTCATTAACTTTGGGGGGCACAGACCCCTCAAATATTTTATTGGGGGGGGCAAAGCCTCCTTGGCCCCTAGGAGTTGGCTCCGATGCAAGAGGGGGGATGTTCTCCTTAGATTGCAATGTGCATTACTTGTTCTCTGGTCCATAGATCAATATTGAAATATAATTGGAATTATTGTTTTTCCAATGAAATGCGATAGGTACATCAAATGAAACAAGGATTTTAAAGGGAGGCTAATAGGGACGTGGGTGACACTGTGGGTTAAACCACAGAGCCTAGGACTTGCCGATCAGAAGGTTGGTGGTTCGAATCCCCGCAATGGGGTGAGTTCCCATTGCTCGGTCCCAGCTCCTGCCAACCTAGCAGTTCGAAAGCACGTCAAAGTGCAAGTAGATAAATAGGTACCGCTCCAGCAGGAAGGTAAATGGCATTTCCGTGCACTGCTCTGATTCGACAGAAGCAGCTTAGTCATGCTGGCCACATGACCCAGAAGCTGTACGCCGGCTCCCTCTGCCAATAAAGCGAGATGAGCACCGCAACCCCAGAGTCGGTTATGACTGGACCTAATGGTCAGGGGTCCCTTTACCTTTTAAAGGGCATTTTAGAAATGGACAGTAGGGAAAAACACGACTGGGTACATCGTACCTCCCGAGTGCCCTGGGAAAAATGGGACAGCCCGGTTTTTTGCGTGCGATCATAGTGGCCATTTTGGGTGGCTTAACCTCATTCTCTTGCCTCAGAAAAGTGTTTTCTAGGGGCAAGAGTGAAGCACGGCTCCCAGAAGACAAACATCCTAGTTTGGGGCTTGAAAAAGTGGACATTATGGGTACAGGTCCTACATCTGAGTGGGCAAAGAACAACAAGTTATTAATGCCTGAATCTCTCTTTGTAGTTGGCCTTGCCATTTTAATTGTTTCATTTGAAGGCACACTAACTGCGGAAAGTGCTGCCCCTACTATTGTGCAGGTTGAGGAAGGGCGCTTTAGGCAGCAGATTTTGGCCTAACGTCAAAGAGGTGAATGTTATCATTTATTTAGCATACTACTTGACTTTTATTGCCATGGAGTGGGGCATTTTGAGTGGGGTTCACCCCACCCCCACATGCACCAAAGCATACTGAGCTGTCTATGAAATGTGGTTTCACAGTTGCCAGTTTCCTTCCCCTGTAACTGGGCTGAATTCTTTTTGGAGAAGAAATATACAGTAAGCCCCATATATATTGCATAAGTCAGAGGTTTTCAACCTTTCTGAGCCCACGGCTCCCTTGACTAATTACCTTCTTTCTGTGGCACCCCTGAGGGGCTCAGGAGCCCAGTTATGTCACCCTTTACCTGCAGAGCCGGCAGCCCCTCACCCTTTTTTGAACACCCTCCCTTGTGGAGTGTTCCCTTGGCCTCCTCTCCTCCCCCATCTCTCTTGGGAGTCCTCTGGGCAGCCAAGGCTGCCACCCCTGGTCTCTGAACTGCCCCCCACCCCAAAGAGAGGTGCCTCCTCACACTGCCCCACAGGAGCCTGGGAAGAGGATGTCCCCATTCCCCTGGGGAGCTTGTAGCCAGGGCTGCTGCAAAAAACAGCTGTGCAAGCCTTTGGGAGGCAGAGATGCGAGAGGGCATCAGAGGAGGGAGGGAAGGTAAGAGGGACAGAGGCATCCCTGACCATCATTCAAGGTACCCTAGGGTGCCACAGCACACTGATTGAAAACCACTGGCATAATGCCATTAATACCCTGATCTGAAATCATGTTCAATGCATAAGGGGATTGATAATATGTTTTGCTGTGGATTTTTGCTGTGGATTGTTTCTTGATTATGTGGCGGAGTTATAATATTCAAAGACCACTCGGGCAAATGAAGGAAGTATGATGGGTGCCCAGTTGAGAAGAATTATTGTGGCTTTGGAAACAGGAAGAGAGGACATATACTAATGATGGAGTGAACGGAAAAAGCCCGAGAACCAAAAGTATGCGGTAGCTGCTATAAATAGTTGGTTGGACTTCTGAAGAGAAAGACAAAAGGAACGCTAGCTGGAAATGATGCCAGGATAACTGCTGCAAACTGCCTGTGAACCCAGAGGGAGGTCACAGCTGTGTGAAGTTTGCATTGATATCCCTGAGGTAGGAGGGTAGAAGAGATTATAGGGCCGAGGGACCAACGAGGAAGGATGACAGCAATCAGCAATGCTGAGAAACGTAGGTGGGGTAATTCATAGGATGAGCTGCTAAAGCCCAAAGGTCCAAAGGTAGGAAAAAGGTGGGCAGAGAAATTAAAGACAGAGAATAAGTAGGTTAGGAAGGATGAATAGAATGGACACAGCGAAAGAACAGTGAAGGATAAAAATCCTAAAGAGTTTTCAAAGCCGCAAAGTCTTTCATTGGCCTTAGCAAGTTAACAGAAAAGCCGTGGTGAAGATAACTCACCCAGAGATAATAAAAGAACGGGGGTGTCGTGTTGCAGCCAAGGAAGAAAAATTATATCCATATATATTTCTCTACAAGTGGCTGCCGTGTGAGAGACAAATGGCATTGTGGAGGGGGCTCCTCAAACCACGGCTTAGACTAGAGCCTCTAGATCTTTTAATCCAGCCCTGAGACTCCTGGGATAATCACCGATTGTTTCATAGACAGTGGATTAATATTTAGGACATAAGTACTACTTGTTGAGTGATGAGACGAGAGAGAGAGTTAAACAGCTGGTGTGGCAGGATCTTGTTAAGAATGCAACCGTAATGTGATGTGTTCCAAATGTAACGTGTTCCAAAACAACTGTGCCGTGCTATACGGGACTCTCCGGAAACACAAGGAAACACAACCTGCTTCCCATTTTAGTGCATAGAAATAAAATGAGACTTGTGAACTAGGGAGAATGGAGGAGAAAATCAGATTTGTTTGAATTTTAATGAGAAACTACCTAATTTGGACTTGTCAGATCAACACGTAAACCAAAACACAGCTGTCTTTTAGAAATCGCACTTCTCTGAATTTTGGGATGTAGTTCTACAACTAAACAATGAGTACCAAAATGCATATACTTGGGGTAAGTGTGCATAGAAATGCATTATATTAGGGGAAATTGTTTGCAAAAGTTTGTATTTTAGTAAAAACTGCATAAAGAAATATGTACCAAAATGCTGACAATTTATCATGAGGATTTTAAAACAATCAATCACAAATTGCTGCAGAAATGTGGAGAACTGAATTGAAGATTGGAAAAGTGAGAAGCTGCGAGAAACCAAAATTGGGATATACAATATCTTTATTGTCATTGTCCCATGCAGAACAATGAAATTGAAAAACTACATAAAACATTCAAAAACCCCTAAAAACTCAGAAACCCCATTTTAAAATACACTATACTATAGAGACCCCTTATGCTGCGTTTAGAACCAGAACTGCATTTGTGTAGAAACTGTTTCTCAGGCGGCTAGTCCTGGCCTTTATAACCCTATACCTTCTTCCAGAAGGCAGAAGCTGAAAGAGATCATTTCTGGGGTGCGTACTATCCTGCGCTATCTCTGCCGCTTTCTTATGGCACCTGACAGCATAGATTTGATCTAAGGTGGGAAGAGTGCACCCAATTATTCTCTCTGCAGTCTTTACAACACTGGACAGCATTGTTTTTTCCCTGGCCGTGCAGCTTCCAAACCACACACACAGACCATAAGTTAATACACTCTCCACAGTGCAATGGTAAAATGCCATCAACAGGTCCTTTGAGAGATTGTCCATACCTAATTATGACCCTTCCTCACACTGCTATTTATCTGGCAGACTCCTGAAATATTGGGATGCCAAGTCTGTGGCACATCATGAATTATTTGTTTTTAATTGGCCAGTTCAGAATTTTTGAGGGGTGAAACCAAACAGCATTGTGGCTGCCTGATGCTACATGTTACAAGCTATTCATGGGAAGCACTCAGCCATGTACAGATAGCTCAACTAGTAAAGCATGAGACCCCTGAATCTTAGGGTCATGGGTTTGAGTCCCACAATGGGCAAAGGATTCCTGCCCTTGCAGAAGGTTGGACTAGATGATTCTTGTGGCCTCTTCCAACTCTACAATTCAATGATATTATGATTCTATGTCAAACAGATCCACTGATTTACTTATAAATGCAGTTTCCATTCTACAGGCACAGATTCATGCTCCTGTATGCTTCTGAAAAATGCCATTAGTTCAAAACCAAGTAAAACAAATACAAAAAATGAGCGAAGTTTACTTATATATGCAACAACTAATGGTGTAACAGTGCAAATCCATGAAAGCTCATTCAGAAGTAAGTCCCAGTAAGTTCAGTAGGGTTTACTCTCTACTAAGCAAGCTTGGGACTGTAGCCTAAGAAATCTAGTTTCCATCCACATTGCAACATGAAAGTGAGTCTCCTTCCATGGAGCACACTCAATGTATATGGGAATCAGATTGAATGACTTGCCACCAGATTTGCTCTGTGACACAGATGTGCACCTGCAGCTATTCTCTGTGCACAGTTCCTAGTCCAGAATAGAAATCTGCACATCAAAGCTTGCTTCCACACATAGACTTGCTTTGCTGGGTCAGCGTGCATTAATTTGCCATTTGTGTCTTGGTGATGGAGGTCTATTGAATTAAGGAGCATCCCAGTCCTGCTTTCTGGGATGGCTAAAAGTGCACAGCTTGGATTTTACACCAGATAGCTAAGAACATTTTCTGTTGGGGAACTCTGAGTGAACAGCTCATGCTTTTATGCTCAAGATGTAATTGGTTGCGACATTTGCAAATGGGGGACGAATATTCCTTCTGGTCAAATAATGTTTTAGAATCTTTGTTTTATGGCATCCAATGGGTTGGTGCACTTTCTTCTCTATGCATGCTATGGACATATCAGTGAAATGTATCTGAATCCTGATCCAGGAGTTTATGCTAGATTACCTTCCAGTTCTGTAATACTGTGACAATAAAAGTTATATCCTAGTACTCTGGTATGTGCATTTATTCATTAGTAACCACTGTGGAGTGATGGATTCTCACTAAGTTTTAATCACAGTCATTCTCCCAACTAGCTGTTTAGCCTCAAATTATCCTCTGTTCCTTCACTTTTTATGGAGAATATAGATCACTGGGATACAAGTAATAGGCAGGGATCCATAATGGATATAAAATGCATCACAACAGCAGCACTACTACCATAAGGCTATGAAGTGTGTCCCCAAATACATGTTTGGGTTTAAAGTGGATCCCAGATCCAAAAATATTGAAAACTATGGATCTAGATCTGTGATTCCCAATGTGGGGCACATACCCCACGGGGGGCAATTTGATTTTTAAGGGAGGGTGATTTGATTTTTAAGGGGGGCAATTTGAGAATGAGTTATTAACAGTGAATGGCCTTTTAGGCTTCCTCCATGTGAATAGGAGTCCATTTTTTGAATAATAAGAATCATATGTCATTGGGGGCGGGGGCATCAGGATTTTAGAGACACTTAGGTGGGGCATGGCCCAAAAAAAGGTTAAGAACCACTGATCTAGAAAATGCAGTTCCTCATTCCATTCCATTCCACTGTTTTTCCTTAAAAAGAAAAGAAAAGATATAATCTATGGCATCTCCCCCGAAAAACGCAATTCCCACCCTGACTGCCTGAATTTACAAGAATAGGACATATGTGGCATCTCACCTTTGCAGATAATTTATTTCCATTTGAATGTAACACTCACCAACAACTGACATTTCAGGAACACTTGCGGTGTAAACTTCTTCAGGAAACGTTGGTTCATTGTCATTGATGTCATGGATTTTGATGACAAACTCTGATTCAGGCTCCACCGGCCTGAGTGTTCTCCTGTTAATAGCCTGGGCACGTAGGGTGTAGTAAGCTTTCTCTTCCCTGTCAATTCTTCGTGTGGCATGAATGTCACCTGTTCGCTCATCAATAACAAAAAGAGTGCCAGCTCCGTCTCCTGACAAAATGTACTTGAGGGACCCATCGCCTTTGTCTTGGTCAGAGTGAAGCTAGGGTTGGGTGGTCGGAGAAGAGAGAGAGAGAGAGAGAGAGAGAGAGAGAGAGAGAGGTGTTTAATAAAATGGGTCCACTTCTTCAGAAGACAGTGAGTCACACAAGGTGCTTCAAACAAAATATGCATTGACAAAACCAAGTCCCTTTCAATTTATGCTGACTCAATACATCACCATGTATGTGCGTAGAGCATTAAAATTCTCATTTCCCAATAATGCACAAAATATTCGTTAAGAGCTCAGCTCCCATGGCAGATTTTAGTTTCTCCGGCAACACCTGTTCCGTGCTGTGGAACATTTCTGTCACAAATCTTAAAGAAGAATTTTATGGTAATGCTGACCTTTTCTTCCCTTGGAAAAGAATCTATTAAACATTCACAACCTGCTGTGTTAGTTGTAAATTCTCTAAACAGATAAAGGACAAGGCGGGGTATGTGATAATTAAGAAAAGCTGCATAACTAGTGCCGGAACTGCAAAATTTTTGAAAGAAAGCTTGTTATTTCTTCCCAAAGAGCAAATGGGGAACAAAATCTTATGGAGAATCTTGCAGTCTCCCTAGGTGCTCTGCCTGTGATCTTAAGGTTAATATATTTCCTCGGCTTTCTCATTCACCAAACAGTGCTATCTCCCAAAGAGCTGAAGCTGGCTAGTGATTCATAAAGCTGTTTCAAGTATGGTTGAACACATGTTCTGCATGCAGAATGTACCAGCTTCCATCTCAGGCATTGCTTATTAACAGAATTCAGAGGGCAGAGCCAAGAGGACCATGACCTGAGACCTTTCATTCCTAGTAGACAATAGCAGTGTCTCCATCAGTGTGGTCCTCCAGATAAATAATAATAATAATAATACATTTATATCTATCTATCTATCTATCTATCATCTATCTATCTATCTCATCCATCTGGCTGGGTTTTCCCGGCCACTCTGGGTGGCTCTCAACAAAATATTATTAATAATAAAGTGACAAAACATCAAACATTAAAAACTTCCCTAAACAGGGTTCCCTTCAGGTGTCTTCTAAAAGTCAGATAGTTGTTTATTTCCTTGACATCTGATGGGTGAGCGTTCCACAGGGTGGGCGCTGCTACGGAGAAGGCCCTCTGCCTGGTTCCCTGTAGCTTCACTTCTTGCAGTGAGGGAACCGCCAGAAGGCCCTCAGCACTGTACCTCGGTGTCCAGGCAGAACGATAGGGTGGAGACGCTCCTTCAGGTATACTGGGCCGAGGCTGTTTAGGGCTTTAAAGGTCAGCACCAACACTTTGAATTGTGCTCGGAAACGTACTGGGAGCCAATGTAGGTCTTTCAGGACTGGTGTTTTATGGTCTCAGCGGCCGCTCCCAGTCACCAGTCTAGCTGCCGCATTCTGGATTTGTTGTAGTTAGACTTCACATCCCAACAGCATGAGCTTAGTTGTAATCTGAAACCAACTGGGGAGCCACAGGTTTCCCCTCCTGTCCATATAGACACATTTTATCTTACAAATGAAGAAAAATCTCCCCTCTGTTATTTTTCTAACAGCTTGGTCAGACCTCACTTGGAGTACTGTGTCAAGTTTTGGGCAACACAGTCCAAGGATCCCAATAAAGTGGAACAGGGGATAAATAAAGTATGACCAGGGGACAGTGACAAAGCTGGTTAGGGGCTCAGAGTTTGAGTCCTATGAGGAAAAATTGAAGGGGTGGGATATTATTCCTGGACAAGTGATTATTAAGAGGCAATATGTTCTTCAAATATCTAAAGGTTTGCCACATAAATGAGGAAGCAGATTTGTTGTAAGTACCTCCATAGGGTAGGGCACAAACCAATCGGTTCAAATAACAAGAAAGGGGATTTAGGGTAAGCATTTGGAGGGGAAATCTCCTGATAGTAAAAAGACTACTTTTGAAGCTGGTGGACTCTCCATGGTTAGAGGTTTCCAGTCAGATTCTGAATGGCCACCTACTGGTAATAATATAGTAGTGGACTTCGAGGGCTAGAACCTAGAGAAGTTTCCATCTCTGTCATTATTATTTTTATTATTATTTATTAAATTTGTTATTCCACCTATGGGCCTGATCTGGACCCACAGCCAAAATATTTTAACCCTCCAAGGCTTCAATGAATTTGAATGTAGTGCCAAAAATAAAATAAGACACAGCACTAGGATGGGCCAAACACTCTGAGTTTGAGGTTAACTGCCCCCTTCCTGCTCATCAGAACCACATGCCAGAATACTGCCCCAAATTTCATCCCATTAAATTACAGTGCAAAGCTCCCACCTTTTTCTGAGATAATGGCATTGCACATTGATTTTTTAAAAAAACCAATTAACACAGAAGTGAGCAGTAAACTTCCACTGGATTCCACTAGATCAGGCATCCCCAAACTCAGCCCTCCATATGTTTTGGGACTACAACTCCCATCATCCCTAGTTAACATGACCAGTGGTCAGGGATGATGGGAATCGTAGTCTGGAGGGCCGAGTTTAGGGATGCCTGCACTAGATTTTCAGGAGGGGTTCTGATGTTCTGTGAAAGACCACATCAAATGTGGAAACCATCAGGGAAACGGAATAAAGTGTTGCCTGAATGCAGTCCGCAAACCCAATTCCCTTAATTTTTCAAAATGGAGGTCCCTGGAAATGTATCAGAACCCTTCCTCAAATTCAGCTGTTATTCACCATTAACCTTGTGCATCTTCTGCTACTCAGCATATCTAAAGATCTAAGGCATCCTTCCATATCCGATACCTTCATGAGAACGTGGCAGCATTCTTATCCCCATTTTATGAGCTTTTCATGCATCAATACAATAAAAAAGTATTTAAAAGTATTTGACAGTGAGGAAGGACAAATCTTTAATGTTTTCTACACCTGTCTACTCAGAAATAAGCACCATAGAGTTCAATGGAACTTCCTTCCCAGATAAGTGTGAACAGGATTAAAGATTAAATGGGCTCAACTCATAATTGAACTTATGCCAAGAAGACCGATATCATCTCACATTAGGAACACTGATGCAGGAAGAAATACACACAGAAGAAAGAATGTAGCTTTCATTTTATGTGCATCAAGCAAGTTCAAGCAAACAATCTGGGGTTTCCCCCCCTCATACAAATAATCAGCCATACGGTTATGTCCCTAATGATCATATTTGCATACTGATTTCATTATATTTAAATGTTAACAGCAGCAACAACTTTTTCTGTGTGTAAGCAATCTGCTAGACATTTGCATGCTATAAAATGCATCCTGGAAAATGTGCTTAAGGAAATATGTATCAACCTTATGTGTGTGTGTGGGGGGGAATATATCAGAAAACCTATAATGAGTGAAGAAACCATTGCAGGCTTTTTTAAAAAAGAGCAGATTCTTTGAGGGGCTGCCCCCATCCCACCTTACAACTTTGATTAAGAACAGAGGAACGCTAATCAAAAACTGGAGCAGTGATTTGAACGATCATCTTCAGTCATATCAGCCAATATAGAAATTAATCACACAACCATTAATTCAGAGATGAAGGATGGGATAGGAATGAGGGGAAACTGCATTGATACCTCTTGCTGTCTCAATTATTTTATAACCAGTGCTGTATTTCGAAATAACCACAGGTTTTAGGATCCAGTAACATCAGCCATGTCCAATGATAACTTATCTCCTCCACCAACAACAACATCAACTGAGGTTTTGGCAGAGACTTCACTTTAAACAAATCAGCATCTGCATTTGCCCAGCCTTCCAAACGGGGCATACGGTGCAAAATCTGCTCAAATCTTTGCTGCTGGTCATTTACAGATGTTTAAAGAGCAACCTGACAATGTCTTAGCTTGGAAGAAAGGAAGCAGTCTTCAGAATGTCACTGCCCACTGGCACCATGCATCAAGATGTGTATTTTCCAGAGCCAGCTCTAAGCAACATCCACATCTGGCATCACATCTGGATACAGATGTTATCCTATCACCAGATGAAGAGCTAACATGGAGAAAGAAGCTGCAGGCCATGCCTCTAGCCACACCTTTATGACATAAGACTTCCTCTAGTCCATGGGTAGGCAAACTAAGGCCCAGGGGCCGGATCTGGCCCAATCGCCTTTTAAATCCGGCCCATGGACGGTCTGGGAATCAGCATGTTTTTACATGAGTAGAATGTGCCCTTTTATTTAAAATGCATCTCTGGGTTATTTGTGGGGCATAGGAATTTGTTCATTTTTTTCCTTCAAAACATAGTCCAGCCACCCACAAGGTCGGAGGGACAGTGGATTGGCCCCCTGCTGAAAAAGTTTGCTGATCCCTGCTCTAGTCCCACATCCACTGTCAGGGCCATCCCACCCATGAGGCAAGGTGAGGTGATCGCCTTGGGCAGCAGGATCCACAAGGGCAGTGGATCTAGCCTCCAGGGAATGCATCGCCCACTGCCACAGGGACAGCTCCTTGGAGGTCAGATCTGCCACCTCCTTGGCATCCCCCATGCTTCCTTTATAGTGAGCTATTGGCAAATAAGAAGCACTGCTGGTCTTTCCCCACTGCTTGGGAAGAAATGACAGAGACTGTCCTCTGGGGCCTCCCCCTGCCTGGCCAGATTCAGAGCAGGACCCTCCCCAATGACAACAGCCTTTGGTCACCTTTTCAACCATAAGGTAAGGATGGTGATTTATTTTATTTTATTTTGCCATTGTGTCTTTTATTAATGAAATTCATTAATGTCATTACAGATTTAACTTCACACATACACATACATACTATATACAGTGGTACCTCAGGTTAAGTACTTAATTCGTTCCAGAGGTCCGTTCTTAACCTGAAACTGTTCTTAACCTGAAGACCACTTTAGCTAATGGGGCCTGCTGCTGCTGCTGCTGCGCCGCCGGAGCACGATTTCTGTTCTCATCCTGAAGCAAAGTTCTTAACCTGAGGTACTATTTCTGGGTTAGTGGAGGCTGTAACCTGAAGCGTATGTAACCCAAGGTACCACTGTATATAAATATATATATTCTTAAATTAGTCTAACTTAGAATGTAAATTAGACTTTCTAATTCCACTTAGATTTCAGCTAAGCTAAAATCATATAATGGTACATAAAATAAAATAAAACAACAACAAACTGAAGTAAAATAAATATAGACTTCCCATCATTTCCCGATATAGTTGACATTTGTGATTTTGAATCTACTTATAATTATTACTTTACATTTAATATACTTTCCAATACTTCCTTGCAACCTAGTGTACTGATTTTCCTTTATTTCTTAATATTTTATGTATACAAGGGTCATTCAAACACTACCATAGATAATATGTCACTGTTATTTTTTTGTAAGTATATCTTAAACATTTCCCATTTTTGAGAAAATAATTGTTTGGTGCGACCTATTAACCTATTTGTTAGTTGAGCCATTTCCACATAGTCTAATAATTTATTTTGCATTCTGTTAGCGTTGGTACCTTTTCCCATAAGGTAAGGATGATTTGATTCCCCCCCCACTTGTTCCTAATGTAGATTTTCACTCACCTCTTTCTTCCCAGTATAGATCTTTATAAGAGTGTGGGTTGGAAAGACCTCAGTTCAAAGTTCACCTCAGCCACAAACTCATTAGCCAGCTTTTGTCAAACCCACCAAGTTCTTTTTTTAGCTTCCTTCTCATGACTGCAATATGTGCAACATTGACCTAACTTAGGACCCAGGCTGTTAAATTTTATTCAGGAGCAGTGGTACATCACTGCTATTTGGTGGTGATGGTGCTGTTTGTGGAGCTTCTTTATGTTCCTTGGAAGCCATTCTGTAATGGGAAGAGAAGCTTTTCTTCCCCTGTGCCTGTTCACCCTTTCTGATCATTTTAACTCTGGGGAGGCAAGTACAAAGACAGCTTGACAACATGCCATACATGGGAAAGCAGGTATCTTCCCCCACTCAACATAATTCAATGAAGGAAAGAAATTGGTTCTTTGGGTACAACATAAAGTGTCCATTGGCCATCTTAGGCTGTGGTCTAAACCACTGAGCTTCTTGGGCTTGTCAATCAGAAGGTCGGCAGTTCAAATAAATCCCTGTGACGGGGTGAGGTCCAGTTGCTCTGTTCTATCTTCTGCCAGCCTAGTGGTTCAAAAACATGCCAGTGCAAGTAGAGAAATAGGTATCACTGTGGCGGGAAGGTAAGCGGCATTTCCATGCCCATCATGGTGTTCTATTGCACCAGAAGCAGTTTAGTCATGTTGGTCACATGACCCGGAAAGCTGTCTGTGGACAAACGCCGGCTCCCTTGGCCTGGAGCGAGATGAGCACCACAACCCCATAGTCACCTTCAACTGGACTTAACTGTCCAGGAGTCCTTTACCTTTACCTTCTGATGTATGCACATTATTAGAGAGCAGAGGGCATTGTTTTTGTTGTTTAGTCGTTTAGTCATGTCCGACTCTTCGTGACCCCATGGACCAGAGCATGCCAGGCACTCCTGTCTTCCACTGCCTCCCGCAGTTTGGTCAGACTCATGTTTGTAGCTTTGAGAACACTGTCCAACCATCTCGTCCTCTGTCGTCCCCTTCTCCTTGTGCCCTCCACCTTTCCCAACATCAGGGTCTTTTCCAGGGAGTCTTCTCTTCTCATGAGGTGGCCAAAGTATTGGAGCCTCAGCTTCACAGTCTGTCCTTCCAGTGAGCACTCAGGGCTAATTTCCTTAAAAATGGATGCGTTTAATCTTCTTGCAGTCCATGGGACTCTCAAGAGTCTCCTCCAGCACCATAATTCAAAAGCATCAATTCTTTGGCGATCAGCCTTCTTTATGGTCCAGCTCTCACTTCCATACATCACTACCGGGAAAACCATGGCTTTAACTATACAGACCTTTGTTGAGCAGAGGGCGTATCAGCACCCTATTACCAATAAAGCTGAAGAACCACATCCCCTTTTCTGCAAAATAGCTATAACTATGACAGGTAGGGTTATTACAGTGACTGCTTGGGGGTGCATTGTATCTTTGACTGCTCCTCAACAGAATAGCATCCTCTTTGACGGATCTCTGTCAGTGAAGACCAAACTGCATAGATTCAGTAGTAGGAATAGCCACAAAACTGGCTGCAAGACGGTGCTCTCATAACAGTCCCTGAAGCCATGGAACCTTGAACAATCTGGTCATTCAGAGATCTCACCCAAGGAGATCAAGAGATCACAGCAAAATATAAATTTCATTTGCCAGTGGGCCACACTGCTGAGCCCCTAATTATGCCTGTGATTATTTACTGCTAGTACTATCTATTTACTAGTTCAGATAAAAAAAAAAACACAACTATTTTCTTTCTCTGTCAGAACAACAACAAAACAAAAGGGGGGGGGAATTAAGCTGTCAGAAGGAGCAGGGAGCTCACAAATAACAGTGAAGTTCTCGTTTTCTGTCTTACATGTAAAATGTTCACACACGTCTTTTGGCTAATGGGCATCTGCGATTTATGTCAGCCAAGCTGAGAAAGGAAAAGACATCTGTTTCACTTAGCAATTTTGTTTCCCAAAATGATCTGCTGTAAAGATGTGGCTTTGTTTTTATATCTGTCTCGGATATTTTGCAAACTGTTATTGCAATGAATTCCTTTCTTCTCTCCCCAATGGTAGCATTCCATTCTTCAGCAGTCAACACCGCATCTTCCTCTCCAGAAATTTGAATAAATCTGAATATTTTGCACATTCATTTCCCACATTCATTTCTTTATCATCGGGACTTCACCTACAGCAACCGCAATTACTAAAAGCCCTGCATTCCAGTAATAACATATGGTTCTTCCCTTTGAATATATTAATTGGTGTGATCTAACATAGTGTTGTTAAGATGAAAACTATTCAAGTGTTGTGACTCATAAATGCTTCATAACGTCAGGAAGGAGTTTGCATGAAATGGGCTCTTGCATATTTAAGTTCAGTAGAGATCTGACAGGGAAAAGTGACACAGCGGCTAGAAAATTTAAATGATTTTTTTTAGTATGCTTTCTAAATTAATTTTTCATCCTTTTCAGAATATTCAATTCTCTTGATGCTGGTTGTTTTAAGCCCTGTCCAAATCATATTTAAATTGTCAAACTTTTTTCTTCCCATCGGCATAGATCTCTTTGAATGTGCTTGCCTCCTGTTGTAAAGCCTTGCCTCTGACCCGGGTGGACTCTACACGCATATAAAAACCATTCTGAAAATGCTTTTTTAAAAAAGCATTTTTAAAAATACATTGAATTTTCCATAAGGCTCACCATCGCCATCTAGTGTCACATTGTATATTGCACTTAAAACACATTGAAAACGTTTTATTTGCAGCTGTGTAGCTGAGTCCCTGGTGTCGAGATGCTGCCCCTTAATCCTCTGGGTGTGCCTTGTGGGCAGGGCTTGGTAATCCAACAAGCTGACTGGAGCTTGGCTGTCTCACTTGCATCCAAGCAGCAAACAGAAAGGTATGTTCTAAGGTTGCCACCTTTGTTCTGGGAAAATATAGGACAGAGCAGGATGGTTGAGGGACACCCCCCCCCCATCTGGTGCTGAAGTGACCAAAGCAATCTATTGCAGCCTAAGAGGATGGCCTCTCTGAAATTTGTCACACATGGACGTGTGTGGCATCTTACATGATTTTGTAAAACTGTCTGTGCTTAGCTACTCAGAGTTTAAATGCATGATCTTTTGCACATCCTTTCAAACAGATGCATTTGGAGAGGATCCCTAACTTGGCAGACACAGAGAGAGAGAGAGAGAGAGAGAGAGAGAGAGAGAGAGAGCGCATGAGTGAGGGAGAGAAGACCTAAAATTCAGGACAAAACTGTATCAATACAGGACACAGCATATTCATAGAATCGTACTGGGAAGGGACCCTGAGGGTCATTGAAAAATGGGACAATCCTGTATTATATGGGATAAGTGGCAAGCCTAGATGCTTACACCAAACTTAACCAAAGAATAGCTGGTATGAGCACTGCCTGAGAGATGGACATCTCGAGATTTCTGATTTCCCCATGTGGACTCACGCTACCAGAATGACAAAGGTGGCGCTGTGGTCTAAACTACTGAGCCTCTTAGGTTTGCCGATCAGAAGGTCGGCAGTTCGAATCCCCGCAATGGGGTGAGCTCCTGTTGCTCTGTCCCAGCTCCTGCCAACCTAGCAGTTCAAAAGCACATCAGTGCCAGCAGATAAATAGGTACTGCTTTTGCAGGAAGGTAAATGGTGTTTCCAAGCGCTCTGGTTTCCGTCATGGTGTCCCGTTGCACCAGAAGCGAATTTGTCATGCTGGCCACATGACCCGGAAAGCTGTCTGCGAAGAAACGCCGGCTCCCTTGGCCTGAAAGTGAGATGAGCTCCGTACCTCATAGTTGCCTTTGACTGGACTTAGCTGTCTAGGGGTCCTTTACCCTTACCTTTTTACCTTTTACCAGGCAGAGGGCCTTCTTGGTAGTGGCACCTGCCCTGTGGAAAGACCTCCCATCAGATATCAAGGAAATAAATATCTGACTTTTAGAAGACATCTGAAGGCAGCCCTGTTTAGGGAAGTTTTAATGTCTGATGTTTTATTGTATTTTTAATGTTTTGTAGGAAGCCGCCCAGAGTGGCTGGGGAAACCCAGTCAGATGGGTGGGGTATAAATAATAAATTATTATTATTATTATTATTATTATTATTATTATTATTATTATGGCCTTGCTGTTCTGCTCTCAGAGACCTCCACCCCTTTCCCACCAATTGTGATGTACCTGCCAAAGCTGTATGCATGTCCCTAGGGATTGCTGTCGTATTTCACAAGCTCTCTTTCCCTAGGCAAGAGGTGTGTTGTCAGTGTATGGTGGAGTATACACTGTGTGTGTGTGTGTGAGAGAGAGAGAGAGAGAGAGAGAGAGAAAGAGAGAGCGCACTTTAAAAACAATCAGGTGGTGGCTAGCTTGGCAGATATATGGTTACAGAAACTCACTTTGACTGTGCTGCTGAGGCTTTTAAAAGGAAACCGTGTGAGGTTTATCGATCCTAGCAAAGGATATCATCGGCTCACCACGCCCGGCAAGGGTTGCAAGCGCTAATCATCTTAAAAAGATCCCGGTGAGTTCCGATCCCTTATTTATATTGATTTTAGAAAAATGGGCAGCTCTTTGTCTGCTCCCCAACAGAAATTTTTAAAAGACTTAAAATTTCTCCTCTCCTCCAACAAATTGGAAGTTCCGGATGGTGATTTAATCCAGCTCATTCTCGCTATCGGAGAGCATTCCCCCTGGTTTCCTGCAGATGGGACTTGGGAATTAAAACTTTGGGACAAGATTGGGGAACATTTTCATGGGCACCCCAGCATAGGTGTTCGGATTTTAAATGCATGGTGCAAGGTTCGTTACGCCATGGGCTCTTTATCACCAAAAAATATCTCTATGGCTGCATTGCCCACACAACCTTCAGCTTCTTTAATTCAGCCTGCTGTGTTAGAGACTGTTCCAATACTCGTTTTGCCAGCAGCTCCAGACCCCAAACCTCCAGACTACAGTGCCTCACCTGAGGACTCAATCCTGCAAAAATACCGTGGTCTGGCTGGCAATGATCCTGCTCTTTCAGCGGCAGAACCAGAACCAGAACCTTTTCAACGTGCAGTCCTTGCCTCTTCCTTAATTCAGGGTACTATGGCATTCCCTGTTATTGTGCTCCCTGCTGGTGCTCCAGCAGGCACCAAAGCCCAACACCAACCTTTTGACTTTAAGATTTTGAAAGAGCTGCAACAGTCAGTAAAGGCCAATGGACTCCAAGCCCCATATACGCAGGCGCTTTTAGAAGCCACATTAGCCCAGCTCTTGGTTCCAGAGGACATAAAGCTTTTGGCCCATACAGTGTTGCCCCATCAGCTGGTGTTTTGTTTGCCCACGAATGGGAAACTGCCTGCCGTGCTTATGCTCCAGCCTTGTTACAACAAGTCAGAGGAAATAATCCAAATGTTACCCTCGCAGACGTCTTAGATGCCATGTTGGGGCGTGGTCCCTTCGCTCAAGCTTCAGTGCAAGCCACACTGCTGCAAATCTTATTGAGGGACACTGCTCTTGCTGCTAAACAAGCAATGAGAAAAATCCCAGAACCCACCAGTATTCAATCAAGGTGGGGTTCAATCAGGCAAGAGGCAAGAGAATCATATTCTTCCTTTATGGATAGGCTGCTTACAGCAGTGAGTCACCAAATTGAAAATCCTGAAGCCAAACAAATAATTATCAAACAATTGGCCTTTGAAAATGCCAATGAGGATTGTAAACTTGCATTGCGACCGATAATACACAATCCTGCCACAGACATAGCAGCCATGCTTCGCATTTGTCAGTCTGTTGGAACAGCCAGCCACAAGGCTTATCTGCTGGCAGCAGCGCTAAATGAAAACCAGCCTGTAGCCACCGATACAACTTATTTCCAGGGTGGCAAACCAGGACCACCGATACCCCAGTGGGGGTAGAACAGTGGCCTCTACCAATAGAAATCTCCGCCGCAGCGGCACCAGCTATCTCTGACCAGCTTATTTCTGAACAATTGACTTTCGACCACATTGAACCATCTTCATCCCACTGGCTCCAGCAGACAGGGAACAGTTTGCTTTTACATTGCCAGCACATCACAATTCGCAGCCCACCCAGCGATATCAGTGGATTGTCCTGCCTCAAGGCATGTGGAACTCCCCTACACTTTGTCAACATTTTGTGGGTGAAGCATTGAAACCTTTCCGCATGCGCCACCTAGAGGTGCTGCACACGAGCTGCATCTGGCAGTGTTTGTCTTCCTAACCATTTGCCTTGCCATCCTTTGCTGCACCTTTATACAAGGAAGAGAAGCAGACGACCAGTCCAGTTGAAACCACCATATTTCACCTCATCGGCTGGCAAGCAGCTGTCGTCAGCTTCCTACTCTGGCTGGCAGTATCCACGGCTCAGCCACTTTCGAACTAGAAGAACAGCGTTGTTGAATAAGACTTTTAGGGGAGAAAATTATCATAAGATATGGAGGAATAATATTTTTGTACAAGATATGATTATGTTTGCCAGTTTATTGCATGCTTCTAAATGTTGGGTGTGTATGCCAGTCATTCAGGCATAATGCTTCATGGTGTGCCTGTCAATGGATCTTTTCAATTTACTAATATTATATCCCCTAAGCCTCCAGTATAATTGACCCTCCGTGAGCCTGCCCCCAGTTATTTTCAAATTAAGGAGGGAAAGAATCATGGGGCATATATCAAAACTGCAAATATACATTGAATCTCACTTTTAATAGCTCTTGTTCTCTTACAGGAACCAATCTCAGTGCTATAGGAGTGACACCAGTGCATGGCTAATAAACTAAAAGGAAGCCTACCATGCAGCTTGGAATCAGAATTCTTATATTCTTGGCTTCGGACAGTTGGCTTGACATTTATTGATTTTAGTGATCATTATAGTAGTTATTGATTTTAGTGATCATTATAGTAGTTATTTGCATTATTTTGTGTTGCTGTATCCAATGTATTCTTTCTATAATCTCTATATGTACTGCATGGTTCTCCAGTCCGCAGCCCGCTTCCGGTGTCAAAGAGTTGCTTATCGCTCGATATATCGCGTATTGACTCTGATATAAAGTAAAGAAAGAGGGAATGTGGGAGTCACAAAGCCACGGTAAAGGCTTGTAATATTGCAGGGTGCCCCCTGACCTTGGCTGACCAGCACTCTGAGCTTTACAATGTATTGGAATGTATTGCAGTTGTGTTTCCTCTGGGCAGTGATTGACCTTATACGGTGAAGGGGGGCAATAAAAGCCTTGACCGGATGATTATTTTCTACATTTTTAAAAAATGTGTTACTTTTTGTGCAACAAGATAATGCCTATCCCCAAGTTAAATCAGTTTAGCATTAGGTCAGCAGAAGCAGCCTCCATTTTATGCCTGTAGCCCTGCTGGCGCCATGATCAAAGCAAGTTTACAATGCAAAATGGCACATGCTCTGAGTATTTCTCTTCTTCAAAAATCAGGATTGGCAAAGTGGGTTCTTGTGTCAGGGACTGGGCAGTGGAGACAGCCTCCCCATCCTGACTGTTCCAGGGAGGAGGAAGAGGAAGACAATATAGATTTACAACAGGGGATTGAAGGAGGTAACAGCTCAGAGGCAGATGAGGGGAAAAGTTGGGAACTCATGGGAGAGCCAGAACACCACCTGGCTGACACGCTGTCATTAGAAAGCATTCCAGACCCTCCATCTCCCAGAACCCAGCAAGCCTTAAAAGTAGGCGAGCAAAGAGCTCAAAGACTTTGTCTTTGTGGCTTCTTCTTTGTGGAACAGGAATTCAATAATATGAAGCACCCCTCGTTCCTATGCTGGACCACAAAGCCATCTTCCTAGCCCCCTCACTTGTAAAGCTTAGATTCTCACCATACTCATCCAAATCTTATTCCTGGTTCCTTATCTTCTTCTTCTGGGTTTTTTTTTTTTCCCCAAATACAGAGAAAAAGCTGCTATAGAGTGGAGAAAGGAAATGTGGTTGTTTGAATCAGTGCCAAAGCCACACATAAAGTTGATTATTTGATAGGTACAGGATTGTGAATGTATATTTATTGGCCTCAACTTGACCTGGAAACCAATCTAAAACTTTTCCCCACTAGTAAAAGTTAATATATTCCCCAAATAAAACTATTCATCACCTGTTATGGAGATCCATCTTGACAGGGCTGAGATGCAGTCTGATTGTTAACTGTTTCTGGCTTTACCAAGACTTAAAGCATATCCTCTTTGTGACATCACACATGACATCAGAATGGCCTGTTTGCATTCAACCTAGACTATCTCCATGCCAACAGCAATGGCCAGTAAACTTCTGCAACCAAGTAACCATCAGCCTGACTACCCAGTGGTTTCTAGCTATACTATTGGATGTTTATTTTTTGCTCTCATAATCAAAACCAGAAGAAGGGCTGTGTATGATCTGAAAACCTGCTTCCACTGTTACAGAAAACTAATTGTCAGGGACAGGGCAGAGGAGGAATGGGGAGACCCCCTCCCCATTCTGACCCTTCCAGGGAGGAGGAAGAAGAAGACAGTATAGATTTACAACAGGGGGTTAAGCAGCTCAGAGGCAGATGAGGGGGAAAGTTGGGAAATCATGGGAGAGGCAGAACAACAACTGGCTGACATGTTGTCATTAGAGACCCTCCATCTCCCAAAACCCGGTGAGCTTTAAAAGTAGGAGAGCAAAGAGCTCAAAGACAGAGGGCATCTGTAGAGGAGATGATGAGAATGACGAATGAAGAAGGGGGGGTGGAGATTCACTCAGGACAACGCCATAATCCAAAAGGCTGAATTCTATGGCCTCTCTCTGTAAAGACTGCGGGGGGGGGGGGGAAGGATGGTAAGAAACCTTTCCTTGTCTTTATACTATTCTGAGCAACCAGCTGGGGGGCCCTGACAGCACCCTGACATCTTGTTTGTTTGTTTCGTGCTCAAGCATATCAGGAACGTAGAAGTCATTGTGAGGCGGCAGATGACGGTTGGTGAGGGAGAAATTGTGTCTTACACAACTGAAGTAATGCATATGGCTGTGTCAAGAGGGCTCTCTCTGTTAAGACTGTTAAGTCCAGAAGTGGCTGATACGCTTGGGTGTGACTCCCTACCTAATGCTGGCCTCGGAGCAGCTAGCCTGGATGGGACAGGGGGATGCAGGGGCAAACTGCAGCGATTTCAGTTCTATTAGGGGTGGGTAGGTAGTTCTGCGAATCTTTCCAGCCACCCCAGTCACTACTGACTTAAGTTCAGGGTGTCAAAAATACTTAGGTGGAATCTAGACACATAAAAAACACTGTGAAAATGCTTTTTAAAAAATACAGTGGTACCTCTAGATACGAACGGGATCCATTCCAGAGCCCCATTCACATCTAGAAGTAAATGTATCTAGCGACAGCATGTCTGTGCATGCGCACATCGCTTTTGGCCGCTTCTGTGCATGCGCGTGACATCATTTTGAGCGTCTACGCATGCACAAGTGGCGAAACCCGGAAGTAACACGCTCCGTTACTTCAGGGTTGCCGCGGAGCGCAACTCGAACGCGTTCAACTCAAAGCGTATTTAACCTGAGGTATGACTGTAAATTGAAAAATATATTGAATTTGCCATAGCTCTCTATCGCCATCTAGTGCCACATTTGTATAATGCACTTTACAACACTCTTAAAATGTCTTATTTGCAGCTGTATAGCTGAGTCCTTAGTTGAAGCAATGACGGTATAATCACACAGGCATATGCGCCATACAGGTCATGGCTTCTCCTTATATCTATGTTCATAGATAGAAACATATTTGTTCCCTTGTAGTGTATTAAATGGCCTTTAAGCTACCCAACAATCAGAAGCAGAACTGTGTGTGTGTGTCTAGATATTCTGTTTCTTTGCCACACATTTGGTCGTTTTTTCTTTTCACTTCATAATTCTCCTTGCAGGACATATACCCTCTCCATCTCTTCTATGACATCTCACTTTTAATGTGACTCAGCTTGGTGCCAACTTTCACTCATTTGTACCGCGAATCACTTATTCCAACTTTACACTGAAAGGCGTGTTAAAAGTAACTCTTTGGTGATGAAGAATTTTACACTGTATTTCAAACAGACACTTAAAGTCTCACCCTTAATAGACTGAATTCTCACTCATTTATGTTGCCATACTTTGAAGTTCCCTTTAATTCAAAGTTGAAGAGAGAGAAAAGAAGAAAAATAATCATACTGGTGTGTGTGTGTAGGAACAGGCCTTGATACCTATCAATAATTGTGAGCATCACAACACAGACAAAGCAATGCTATCCAAAACTGATAATGGGGGTCAGCATCCCACAATGAGACCCCATACAAGCTGCCAAAAAATAAAATAAAATAAAATAAAATCTCCATAATTCGAAAGCACAAGCAATAAACACATATATTGTGGGGGAAATTGTGTGAAAAACATCTTCATGGGGCTATCTGATCCCCACTTTTTTGTTTGTTTGTTACAATGTCATTATTAAAATATCTGCAGCACAACTGTGACATTTACAACTTGTGATGTAGTACAGTACTATTTTTATCCTATCCTCATTTTCTTACTAAATTGCATCCTCCAATTCCCCTTGAAAGCATGCTAATCATTCAATTTTACTCATTTTTAATTACTCAGGACAGCAAGCTTTAGGACTGGACAATTACAGTGGTGCCTCGCAAGACGAAATTAATCCGTTCCGCAAGTCTCTTTGTCTTGCGGTTTTTTCGTCTTGCGAAGCACGGCTATTAGCGGCTTAGCGGCTTAGCGGCTATTAACGGCTTAGCGGCTTTAAGAAAAAGGAAACAAACTCGCAAGAACTCGCAAGACGTTTCGTCTTGCGAAGCAAGCCCATAGGGAAATTTGTCTTGCGGAACGACTCAAAAAACGGAAAACTCTTTCATCTAGCGAGTTTTTCGTCTTGCGAGGCATTCATCTTGCGGGGCACCACTGTAATCTTAAGGGTGTTTTCACACATTGTGCAGAGGCAGCTCCTATTTTGTCACTGATATTTTTTAAAAAGCAAGTTTCAGCCAATATTAGTTTCCAGGGTAGTGTGCCTGCAAGAGACAAACAACTGCATGTTTATAGTTCTGCATGTACACTTACAGAATCTTACATGTACACACACGAGCACAAAAACAGAGTTAGAAGGTACAAGGTAAAAAGGTAAAAGGTAAAGTACCCCTGGACGGTTAAGTCCAGTCAAAGGCAAGTATGGGGTTTCGGAGCTCATCTCACAGGTAGCTGGTGTTTGTCCACAGACAGCTTTCTGAGTTATGTGGTCAGCATGACTAAACTGCTTCTGGTGCAATGGAACAGGAGCTGGGACAGAGCAACGGGAGCTCACTCCATGATGGGGATTCGGACCACCGACCTTCCGATCGGCAAGCCCAAGAGGTTCAGTGGTTTAGACCACAGCGCTACTCACGTCCCTTTTTAGAAGGTATAAACAACTCCCGTACACATTGAAAACATGTGGAAGCAGTCACAGGGCCATGGGGTTGTAGTCCATACCCTACAAGTGTCCCAATTTTCCAGGGACAGTCCTGGAATTATGAAAGCCACCCTGGCTACTGATTTGATCCTGGAATGCCCCTATTTCTCCCACCAGTGCTGTCTCTGCTGAGCTTGGGGAAGAGGATGAGCTGGTGCTTGTCATGAGCAGCGACCGTGGCAGCTGCAAAGGAGCACCCTGCTGCCTCTCCATGGCCTCTGCTTCTGGTCTCCTCCCTTGGGCATCTCATAGTGGCTGCTGGAGAGCAGGTGAGGAGGAGAAGAAGCTGCCACCATTGAGGTTCAGCCCCACATGATGGGTTGGTTCTGAGGAGCAGGCAGGGGGCAGGGCCACCCTGAGCAAGAAAAAGGGGAGAGTGGAACAAAGCGCTAGGAGTCTTGATTTTTTAAAATGTTTTGCAAGTCCGCATCCATGTCTAATGTTGCCCCTTTCTAAAGTTTTTTTTTTTTCTATTTAAAAAATAAAAAAATTCCAAATTATTACGGCGTACAAGCTGCAGCCATAAATCTCACAGAATGCACATCCAAACTCTGCCATTAAAATTCCGCTCTGGAGTTCTTCCTCAGCACACAGTTAAAAGCAAGGTCTTTTCTCAAATTCAGCCTATTTACCACATCTGTTCAGCAGCAGTTCATTATCTCCCTCCCCCCACTGCATTCCTCCAACAGCAGTCCAGGAATAATTTTAAATAAAGTCCATTCAGCCTCGGTCAAGGGGGGAGGGCTTAGTAAAACCTTGTTAAATACCTTGTTGAGCACAAATCAAAAGCCTCCCCCCTCTTTTCCGAAGTAACAAACAGAATAACGTAACAATGGCTACACACATCTCTTTCATTTTGCAAGGAAGGACAAGAAGAAAGGAGACCATTTGAAAACCATAAGAAAGCACAAAGCTCCTTGTCTTCCCCCTTTCCCAGCTGTTGCAAGGATTCTTAAGCTTCAAAGAAAACATTCAGATACCTTCAAAGGGCGAAGCCCAGTCCTTTCGGCAGCTGATTGCGGCCCGTTAGCATATGTCAGTCCAGGAGCGCCTCTTGATTAATGCCAATTGTCCAAATTATAGAGGAACTACAAATCATGCCGGAGACGGAGGCTCATCCATGGTAGGGACACACTCCCAGGTTGCACCCATTCTGCCTTTCAAGTTGGCAGACATAGGCTTGAGCGGCATAGTGGGATGCAGTGAGCTGCCCAGACTCCACTGGGCAACATTGTCATGATTTTTGCCTCATAAATCCTGTTTTCCCCCTGCCTGAACCTCCTTGCTACCCGCAGAGTACATTGAGGAGCTATCACCCCTGACTCGTAGCCAGAAACCATCTAAGGTTTATTTATTGGTGTTTTGATTTTTGTAAATCTACCAAAGAACAAAATATAATATAATGGGAGTTAAGGGGCTTTCTCCAGACGGTGGAGGGCATGTGTGCTGTGTCAGTTTGGTGTCGCAGTGATGGCAATTGCCCTTCTTCTGAGACCAAATGCTCTGTGGGGAAGGGGTTAAAAAATGTGGGGTCAAGGAGGGTCAGTTGGGGGGAGTGCCAAAAGTCTCTATGCTAGTCCTGCCCATCATTAATCAACAGTGCTGCACTCCCCTTGCTGAAAGCCCCTTTGGTGTTTGTTGGAATTAGTTCTTGCTGGGTACAGATGTATGTGCACATACGAAGTATCTAAGTTATCAAAAAGGTGAACAGATCCCTGCAAGAATGTTATTTGCCCCA